AATGCCTCTCTTGAGCTGCACAGCTTCACCCTCATCTTCCAGTCTCTTAACTGTGCTTGTAGTTTCATGAAGTCACTTCACTTTCTGCCTGTCTGGATTCTCAGAGTGCTTTCTGCTGCTTTGCCACCCTTCAGGAGGCACTTCTCTTTCTTATTTCAGCTTCTGTAGTGTTGTGTTGGTGTTCTGCTCCCTCCTCCCTGTGATAAGATGCCACCAGTAGGATGTGAGTTGGGTTTTTGAGATTTCTTGTTTCTCCTGGATTATTTGCCAGCAGTTTTCCTTGAATTCTTAGAGGACATAAGGACGGTCCTTTAGCCTTCTCAGAACTGCAACAGACTTTAAAATGAAAATCTTCTATATTTCACAGACATGTCTTTAATTAAAGCTGTGCTGATGAGTATTCTTTTTTTAATTTTCCATGCAGTGTTTCAATCTCTGCTTTTAGCATACTGCTTGGTAAGGGCTTTGCTTTAATCCAGTGGTGTTGGCAGCCAGGTGTGTGCAGCAGTGCTGGGTGTGCTGTGAAGGCTCAGCTGGTCTCCTTAAACACTTGGCTGTCAGTCTGTGGGAGGCTGGAAATACTTTCAGAAATACTTAAGTTTCAGGAAGTGGCAACGTAGCAGGTAATGACTGGAAGGAAGAACTCAATCAAGATTTTTTTTTTACCCTGTTGCAGTATTGGAAGGCTCAGAAACTTCAGGAGCAGCCCCTTGGTGTAGGGGCTGTGTGAAAGGAATCAACTCCAGTTCTGCAAGGAAAGTGAATGATTAGGATGGGTGCAGGGGAGAGGGAAGAGTTCTGACCCTTTGCACAGCTGAGGAGGAGACTTGACTAAGCTCCACCAATGACCCCATCCTTGGGAAGGATGCTTTGCCATGCTTCACAAACAAATGCTGCTTGGTGGCACTGCTGTGTGCACTGGGTGTGAGTTCTGCTGCTCATCCTCCAGCAGCAGAATGTGGAGTGTTTACCTGTGACAATTCCCCTCATATGCACTTATTTTAGGCAGGCCAAACTCCAGAACAGCCTTAATCATCTTAAATTCTTGCATTTGGGTGCCTTCTGGCATCTGTATTTTTAGTCTTAACTAATAAGTGAAGATGCTGCTGCTGCTTCCAGGTGATTTGCCTGGCACACAGACAGCATCACACTTATTTTGCAGTTGGAGATCGATGGTATAGATTTCATTCCAGTGTTGCTCTGTCTCTGAAATGGATAAGCTACAGGAAATTGCTATTCATGCTGTTTCACATCCGATAGCTGTTTCAGGTGGCAGTCATTTATGATGAGAAGGTATAGCCCTGTCCTGGAGCTGCTGCCAAAGGAGCACAATATGAGCTGTGTGGGTACCTGCACCATAGCCAAGCCTTGCAGTTGCATGTGCTGGCAGAAAGGTTTCTAATGTATTAAAAGGGGAAAAAAAAATGCTAAAAATTGCTAATGGGGTTTGCTTACACTTCTAGCTTATGGAGAGGTTATTTAGAAGATCAGCAGGTTTTTAATCAGTAAAAAAAAAACCTCAAGGACTTTAAGATTCAAGTTAAATAATAGTTTACCAAGCTTACTGTGTTGTGAAGTGTAAATGTGCAGGACTGAGGAGCTGCAGCTCTGCACACCTCGTCCCACAGCTCTGCACTGTCATCCTGCAGTGACTGATGGTGGCGAGGGACTTGTTGCAATGTTTCGCTCACTCTTTGCTGTTTCTCATAGCCCAGAAGCAGGAGCTGTAACCAGGTGCTAGCAGTGCTCATTACAGCAGGAGCTGTAACGAGGGAGCTGAAGATGAACAGATCTGGAAAATACTCAGCCCTTCTATAGAAAGTGTTAAAATAGTTTTGTTCCTGCTCTTCTGGCAGAAAAGAGGGATGGTAAAGCTGAGGTTGGTGTGGCAAGGCAGGGCAGGTGAGCAGCTGCAGTGTGTTGCAGTGTGTGCACTCCTGCTGCAGGACTTGGGGAGCACCTTTAGCATCTGCAGGAATGCTGCTGCCACTCTGGGTCAGGAACACCAGCAGCACGGTGTGAAAAGCACCTTTGAAACTCAGCTTCCACACTTCTCTGGCTTTGTGTTCTAAAGCCCTCAGGTAATGTTTATTGAGCTCTCACTGAGAGCATGCAGTTGTTGGTGTCATTTGACCCAGTCCTGCTTGCCATCCTCTATTCTGCAGAGCTCCTATTTGTTGTTCTTTCTTAGCACAGTGAGCTATCAGTGACTTTCAGTGTTTTTTCCCAGCCTTGCAATTAAAGGCTCTGTTGAGGCATTCTGAGGTGGTTAAACCAGGTCTGGGTTCTTTGTAGCTTTGCCTTCAGTCTGCTCTTTGTTCTTTGGCTGTCCCTGGTGATTTTAAGAGACTTAATTTGGGGTCCTCTGTTTGTTTTGAAGAAGATGAAACAGTCCCTTGGTTTATTTGACAAGGTAATCTTTGGAGCTAAACTGCTTTGTGTCTGTTGAGGAACTTTGCAGAAACTCTACATCCCTCTATTGTAGTGTGGGCATGTCTCAGGGAACTGTTTCATCTTTGTTCCATAGGTTCTGGGGAGCAGCTACGTGTTGTGCCATACATCTCAGCATCAGCTGAGCGACACAAACTGTTTGGGCAATGCTGACGTGACTCAATTTGTCAGGAAACAGCAGGCAGAAAACTGTCAGGTTAGGGGAAGTGTGGCCCCAAGTGATTGCTGAAAATATCTCAGCAAAGAGGCCGTAAGGAACCTGTGTGCTCGAGCTGCAGGGCTTCTGCTGCTAATTCTCCCCATCTGTTTTTCTTAGGATGTTCACCGTAGCATTTAAACATATAAACACAAGGAGAAAATAGTATCAGGCTTTGAACTGCCTCATTCCCTTCTTGCTTTGAAATGGTTTCCTGCAGGTCTGTGCTGTGATACCACTGGGGGCTGCACAACCCAGGGCTTCTGCTCTGATTGCTGAATTCTACTTTCTCTCCTTGTGCAGGTGCCACCTCTCCTTCTCCATTTGAGCAAAAATATTTTTCTTTTATGCAGTGTTTTATCTTCCTACCCTTCTAGGAAGAGGCACCTCAGTGTGCAAAAGAACTTTGTCTCAAAGGAAAAGCTCTATTTCTGGAATATTTAGGCAGGAACTGTGTATCCACCTGCTCTGTAGATAACTTCCCTAACCACCAAAGCAGGCTGTTACCTTTTCTCAGTAGCTTCATTGACAAAACAATTATTGTTTTAGTTTTTCAACTTGCAAGGCATTCTCCTTCCAAATTTTATTACTGTGATGTGTTTTAAGGGCTGTTTACAGCTTTTCTGCCTGCTGGTAGCAGTCTGCTCACACTGCATTCAGAAGTCAGAGCTTGTGCTTTTACTGCCTCCTTTTTCAACTCAGCACAGTGTTGCTCTGCTGCTAAGAGAGGCAGCACAGACCTGCTGCCCTCTGTGCTGTGCTTGCATCGCTCACAAGGCTGCAAAGTATACAGAAGGAAAGCTGATATGCTATAAGCTGGGATAGGAACCTTTCTTTCCCTTTTCTTGTTTGAGTCACCTGGAGCCAGTTTCCTGATCTGTTTGGTGCTGTGGCACTGCAGAGGAAGGAGGCTGAGCTGCTGTGTTTGGGCAGCAAGGAGCTGCTCTGTAGAGATGCTGGGATGAATGTGGCTCGTAGAAGCAGCCTGCATTTAAAACAACTGCAAACACAGCATCAGTTCTAGTTAAATGAATAGAGGAACAGTGTGGCTCCTTTCCATTTTACCCAGCTTCTGCTTCCCAGGGTTGTTCCCTGTTGTGATCTGGCTTTGAGGAGTTGCCAGTTTGGATTCCTGCATTCTTTGACTCCTGAGCAGCAGCCATCTGGCAGTAGGAGCCTGGAAAACAAACCAAAACACCACTGGGTAATCCCAGCATCAGGCATATGCTGCACTGATGCAGTGTCCTGTAAAATGTCATCTGACAGTGGCTGTAGTGATGGTGACAAGAGGATCCCTTTAGGTATGATGTTCCCTGATATTTTCACCCTTGACACTAAGAAGATGCACTTTATTTTTATTGGTGGCTTAAGCTTTTAATTTGTCATCAGTGGATCTTAAATCTTGCCTTCTGTCCTAAGGAGCCACTTAGTGCCTTTCTGCAGCACTGAAGTCAAAACTCATTTGTTCTGCAATTAAACTTATTGCAAGCCAGAGAGGAGTTCTTAACCCAGGAGGCTTCTATGTGATTGCTGAACCTTTCCCAGCTGCACAGTGCTGTTCCTAGTGGAGTTTTGGGGGCTGTGGACTGAGGTAGAGCTCTCTGATGAGAGCAAATATGTGTGCCATAAATGCTTGAAGTTGGCCCAAAGGATTATTTGTGATCCAGTATCTGAGTATGAGGTGGCACTGCATGGCTCCGTATCACACACCAGAGCCCTCTTTGCATTTGCTTCCGTCTTTGACTCCTCTTTCTGGAGCTGCTTTGTATGGCTTTGTTTTCCCTTCTTGCTCAGACTTCTTGTTTTATGATTTTTAAAAACAAAGACTTTAAACTCAGGCTTTTCTGTAAGCCTTTCCTTCCTGCCCTGCTGCAGCTCTCACTGCTGGATGCTGCAGCATTGCAGCTATCTGTACCTTATGCTTGCATCCTCCTCAGGGATCCGTGTTTTGTTTTCAAGTGTGATGCTTTTCAGAGAGAACATTCATTGGTGAAATAATACCCAGGCTAAAAGTGTCTTTCAAATACTACCATCTGTTTGTTTTCATGGGCAAGGTTAAAACTGAATACTTCTGCAACTGGCAGTGGTCAGCTAGGACAAAATTAAGGGCAAAATGGATTTTTATTGCACTGTGAGATTAAACAAGTGTAAAACAGCATGGCTTTTACTTTTAACAGTGAAACTAAAATGTATTTTTGCTTTTTAAGGTGTTGATGCCTCTTCTGTTTTCCTCAGGATCTTGAAGTTCTTTACACTGTGCATGATAGAGGGCAGCTGCTGAGCTTGCAGATAATTGACTTGAAATTGCTTTGAGTAATTCTGCTTTTCTTTTTGGCTTTTTGTGCTTAATCAGAATTGATGTGACTGAAGTGCAAATCTTCATAATAATCATGCATTTACTGGCAGTGATTGGAGGACCACCTTTTTGGCAATCTCTGGTAATTTTGTTCATGTTCTTATCTTTATCCTTTATTAATAATCTCAGACACCTGGAAGAACCACCTGCCTGCAGCCTTTGTGAGGGAAAGGTTTTTGTTTCTTCTCCTTTCCTCATAATTAGCAGCGAAATGGCAATAATTGTACACTCTGGTTTTACCAAAGTTAATTTAAAAAAGCACCTTTATTTTCCTGTATTTTGTCATATCTTGCAGGTAGGAAGCTACCAAATGTTTCCCATACTTTGAATGCACCTTTGCTGAAGTCCAGCTTCCTTTGAGTGAGCTGGCCAGAACTTGAATGCATTTCATGCCACAAGCTAGATCAGATTCAGGAGAGTACTGAATTGGACTGATGGTATGGAGGAGAGCTTTGGAGATCTGCTGGGGACCATCAGTAGATAATTTGGCCTGAGTGTGCTCAGCTCCTGCTTAGGAACACAAAACAAATTGGTCATCTTTAAAAAAAAAAAAGATCATTCAGACTGAGCCTGGGTGCAGGTGGGTCCTGTGGGCTTCACAGGGCTGCCTGGCTCAGAGGGCAGCTCAGCTGTGCTGCAAGGCAGTGTCACTCACATGTTATGTATTCTGTTGGAGCAGTGTTCATGAAGCCACACTGGGCCTTTAATGTATGTAAATATGCACATATATGGATTAAACAAAAACAGATGCCTAGGAGTAACTTCCAAAGGATTGATTTCCTGGAATGTTTTCCTTCCTGGATGTGGATCATGTCTGTGTGCTCACAGCATCATTCTGAAGGTGGATAAGGGAATCTTGATTTGCCATAAAACCAAGAGATGGTCAAAAATACTGAATCACATCACCCCAAATCACTGATTGATTTCTATTTTTTTTCCTAATCTGCTTCCTAAAACCAGGGAAATGAACCCTCTAATGTTGGAGAGAATGTCTGGCATGAGGAGCTAACCTTGGTTGCCTCCATCTTGCTGAGTGTGCTTTTGGTTTGAGCTGAAACTCCCCCAGAAATCACAAATGATGCTGCAAAGTGCATACAGAGCATCAGCAGGGATAGAACTCTTCTCTACAAAAGCCGTGAGGCTGCAGGTGATGCTTCTGGTGCCAGACTTCTCCAAAGCAATTACTGCCACCAACATCCATGCAGCTATTGCTTAGCTTCCCAGTTGGGATTTCCCAATTTATTCTGTTTCCTTTTCTCTCTTTTTCAAAAGGAAAGCAGAAAAATAACAATTTCTGCCACAGAACCTGTGGCATGGTTGGTTTGGGGCAGGGTGAAGTTTGGGTTATTAAGCTTTTTTCCAGCAAAATCATGAAGTTTGTGCGAAGTGCTGTGTTGCAGCATTGGGTGAAATAAATTCCCAATGCTATTTTGAAGTCCAGCACTGGAGTTATGGAGGAATCTCCCCAGAGAATAAATGCCTTCAGGCTTCCCATGGCAATTAGGAGTTTTCCTTTTTCTCCTTGTGGGATTGCTGTTATTTACAGAAATAAACACTGCTGTTTGCAGAGCAAAATATATCACATAAGGAAACCACCCCTATTTAGTGTTGCCTGTGACAGCAAAATTGGTGGCTTGGTATTGGGATTTGTGTCTTGGGGAGGGGAAATAAATGGAATAAAATGTGTGCTTGTGTGCTCAAACATTCCACTTTCTGATGCTAAGATGTGACAAACAAAACAACCCTGATTTGCTGAACGCAGAGTTGTGTATTTGGTCAGTTGTTGATTTCATTGGCTTTGCTTTGTGAGCTTTAGGTGCTGTGTCAGTGTGGGGCTCTTTCAGTGTGTCCAGGTGCTGTGTGACAGCTGCTGTTGTCTCAGTGGATGATGAGCAGCCCTGGAGCACAGATCTCATTTGCAGAACTGTGAGTAAAGTGAGCAAACACAGGTCGTGTGGGTCCCATTGGCTGCTGCCCCCACCTGTCTGCTTCCCAGATCTGTTTTTACCACTCACAGAACTGTGGTGGCATCTGGAAGAATCCATGGTGAGTCTGCAGGCCTGAGGTTCATCTTCTGTTGAACGATTTGCTTGAATTCATTCCCCAGCAAGCATTCCTTAATCCACTCTTTGCCTGTTGCCACTTGTTTTTATTAACATGTTTGCTTTTCCCAGCCAGACTTTGGTATGCTTGCTTAGTCAGGACGTGCCCTGCTTCAGAGTAGCTCTCTGTGCTTTGTGGCCTTTCTCTTTGACTTTCTCTTTGAATCAGTCACTTAGAGACACTTTTTTCCCCAGCAAAATCCCCTTTTCTTTGGGAAACTTCAGCTTTAATCTCTTCCCATATGAGGCACATCATTGCTTTCCTCCCCTTGGCAGAAAAGCACATCCACCATGGCAGCACCTTCCTTAACCAGAGGTGAGACCTTCCCAGTTTCTGTGCCTCCTAACATTAATGGACAATTGCAATTAGCACTCTGGTCTGTGGCAACCTGCCTTTTGTTTGCTAGTCATCCTTCTTTCTTTACTGTCTTTCAGAGAATGTGTACCAGCAAGGAGTTAACACTGCCACATAGAGCCCTTAGAAGATCAAGAGATTAAGCTGTTAAGCAGAACAACATGTTAAACACAGCAGAAAAATTAGTGATCCCTATCTGCTAAAAGCTACACTGAGTGCAGCTGAAAAATAGAAACAACCTGACCTGTTTTGGGCTTCTGTGTGTGGTTGGGCTCCTTGCTGCTGGGGGCCAAGTGTTACTTTGGTGCTGCAGTTGCTCAGCGAAGAGCCTGGGAAGGTTTCAGTGGTACAGATCAAACTGGAAGGCGTTGTTGTGCAGCTCTGTCTCAGAACCTGCTTCCATAATGTATTTGCTGTGGTTTATTTGAACTGTCTTCATTTCTAGTTTCTCCTGTTCCACTTAAAACACTGTTAAGTGAAGAAAACAAGTGCTTTTCAGTGCTCACTTTTTCCACTTAGCAACCCACCTGCTTGTGCTCCCAGGCTTGCTTGGCTCTGAGGTGATTTGTCTGATCTGTTCACTTCCCTTGCCCTGCCTATGGGGCAGTACCCAACTTCTTACAGGGCTTTATTTAATCACCCCCTGCCTCTTGCTTTGCCCAATGTGATGCTGGGCTGCAGCTGTGAGTCTTACAGCCAATTTCAGAAGAGATTACAGATGCCTCCATCTTCCCACTTGCTAACTGGGTGATGTAGCCAGTAGGTTTCAGTTTCTACCTGCTTGTTGGCTTTTGGCAGTTCTTTCCAGGTAACTGAAGATGAGTCCCACTTCATGGGAAGCTTGATGGAAGCATGATTGGTAGAACACACACTTCTCTGTGCTGTATAAAAAATAAATTAATTAATAAAAAAAATCAACAAATAACAATAAAAATTAAGTCTAAGTAGTAGGGGAAGGGGGGGGAGGAAAGAATGCAACAAATGGAGCATTGGAAAGTGGATTGTTTGAGTGCACCAGAAGTATTAAGCCTGGTTTTAGTGTACTCGTGCATCTTTAACTTCTTCTCTCTTTTCCATTGAAGATCCCAATACTGAATATTCAGGTGAAAATATTCCCAGCTCTCTGTACTGTCGCAGGAACCATATTTTCCTGTACAAACTACTTTGGTGTAATCTTCACAGGTGGAGTTGGCAAAAATGGATCCACTATAGCAGTGAGTACTGGGTTTGCTCATTTTAGTTCCTTTCCAGCATGCTGTGGCTTTCCAGCCATGACCTTGGTTTTCATTTCACATGAAGGGAGTATTATGGTGCTATTTTCCATTCAGTTCTTTGACCTGGGGAAAAAAGTTAATACAGGCTGTGTAAGAATAGCTTTAGAAGTCAAAGGTTTTAAATTTCTGTGTTTAAGAAGGCTTTGGTGCTTTGATGTTTTATATGATTAATTCAAAAGCAAACAGGTAATAGAAATACATGTTTCCAAAAAGTTCACAGACATCCAGTGCAGAAATCCATTCAGAAGGAAACTGATCAAACTTTGCTCATTCTGAGTAATATTTATATGATCAGTTAAAAAGTATAGATTTCTGTACAGGTATCTTCTGCTACAATGGGCAGTATTGATTGTGAAGCCCAGGGAGCTTTTCAGAAGGCAGCTCTATGCCAGATTGACAACGACTTGCTGCTTAGAAGGCTGTTCTATTGCTTTTTAAGCTTCACAGAGGGAAATCTTTCCCAGTGCTTCATGTCAGCATCAGCCCCTGCCTGGCTGGTGAGTGCCAGCACTGTGCAGTTCTTGCTCTTGTTGTTCAGCACAGGAGAGGTTTGACCACACGCTCAGCTGGTGCTTGCTGGAGTTTCACCACATCTTGTTCCTGTTATTGCTGGTGTACAGGCACTTGCTTTTCATGTGTTCTTAGTTTAAAAACCACATGTCTGCCTGCCATGTGAGTGTTTGGCTTGCTGAGATTATTTTGCAATGTGCACACTTTGTCAACTTAATGCTTTGACTTTATCTCACTGCAGGGAACCAGTGTCCTTTCACCTTTTCTTCATATTGGGTCAGTAATCACACTTGCTGCAATGATCTACAAGAAATCTGCTGTGCAGCTGTTTGAAAAGCACCCCTGCTTGTATATACTTACTTTCGGTTTTGTATCTGCTAAGATAACAAACAAACTCGTGGTAAGTACACCAGAGTTTCTAGTTATTGCAGTAAGGCTTCTTGTAGCTCTTCAAGTTCTCTAGATATTCCATCAGCTGACTTGCATCTGTTTTGTGTACAAAAGGGATAAACACACTTCAGTAGTTTGGAGGTGCAGGGGATGGAACACGAGTTTTTCTTCCACTTGGAACTGCAGCAGTGAATATCTTGCTGATGCCATAGTTAGTTGGAGCCAGTACAGCTTTCATCTCTGGATTCTGTCTCTCCCCCCTTCCCAGCTGTTCATTCACATCTCTGCAATGAGAAGGACTGGAGAAGAGCTGGCTGAAACCCTCCCCTGATGTGTGTGTGTGTGCAGGAGAGGAAAGTTTGTTGGGGGAGAAGATAAGCTGACAGAGCTGTGGGAGTTTGGGACAAGTGCTTGAGTTTCAGTTGAGCAATTGGAGAGAAATAGTAGTGGGAATCACTTACTGGTTGTAGCAGGGGGCTGATTAACCAAGTGCTGCCCCACACTGTCTCAGTTCTGTGGCAAACCAGCATTGCTGCTGTCACCAGGCACCTGATGCATTGTACTGTAACGTGGCTTTAACTGCAGCTTTTTTGGCTTTGTGTGAATTACTGTCACTGCTGGAGTACATTAATGTCTTCAACTTCCTCTGTTTTTAACTGCAGGTTGCACACATGACCAAAAGTGAAATGCACCTGCACGATACAGCTTTCATAGGCCCGGCTCTATTGTTTCTGGACCAGTATTTTAACAGCTTTATTGATGAGTATATTGTACTCTGGATTGCCCTGGTAAGTATGGGCTCACCTGTCAGTTATCACTGCAAATGTTTGGTGCTTTTTTCCTCCATGCTGTTGGCATTGGTTGAACCCAGCTGACTCCCCTTGAGGATGGTGGCACTGGGGAGCTGCTTGACTGAGTTAATTTTTAAGTAAGCCTTTATGCAAACTGGGGTGAAGAGGGTTTGCTTGGTGCATAATTCATGTGGTTGTAAAGCAGTGCAGCAGATCTTCAGAGCTTTGAGTGTTTTGAAGATCTGTGATGATGCCTTATTAGGAAGGGAATGTGTCATTTGTGGTGCAGGAGTAGCATGGCTCTGCTTTCATCTTGTGATGACAAGTATACCCATGGTTACTGGTAGAACACATTAGGAAGTCTTAGCATTAAATTCATCTACATTTTTCAAGCAGTCAGCTATCATTATCTATCAGTGTTGACCTTCTAATAAAGTTGATGGCTTACAGTTATTACTGTTTGGAGCTGAGAGGAGAATTTCACAGGATTTGTGTAGCTAATGGGATCTTTTCCTTTCTTGGACTCTGTAGTTTGCATTTTGTATTTTACAAAGCTGAAGGCAGTTCAGCATTTTTAGCAACTGCCTACAGAGAGCATTTGTTCCTGCAGAGTTTGAGATCTTCCTCTTGAGAAGAGCCCAATGGTTATTTTTTTTCTAAAGCATATGGATCGTGTCATATTGATGTCATGGAAGCGTAGATCTAACGTGTAACTCTTCCTTTGGCAGATCTTTTCTCTCTTTGATTTGCTTCGATACTGTGTGAGTGTATGCAACCAGATTGCTGCCCATCTGCACATCCACGTGTTCCGAATCAAGTCCTCTTCCACTCATTCTAATCACCATTAATAAACGGGGAGCCACCATAGAGGAAAACAGGAAAAGAGTTGGTTTTCTACATGAACGGATGGCAAGATGTGTCGGAGACTAAGGCAAAAAGCAGAAAAGAACAAAATAACTTATCATCATCAATGTTGTATAACTCTTATTCTTTGTTATCAGTAACACTCCTTAACTAGTCTCCTGCCTGAGAGAGTGAATTCCAAGTACATCCTTAGTCAGCTCTACATGTAGTCAACTCTGTTGGTTCCGAGCCCAGGAAAGCATGCAGGGAGCAATGCTCTCTTTGTAATTACTTTGATTACAGAATAATCTATGTATGGTGAATGGATCCCCAACAACTGAAGTTTCTAATGTAGTATAATTACAGCTGCAATACGACTTGCTTTTAATTTTAATATTTCATCATCTCTTAGTGAAATACTTGTTTAGTGTCCACTTGAAATTCATTTATTAAAGACCTGAGCTGGTAACAGCAGATATCTCACTAACTTGTGTGGCTGAAGCAGCTGTGGAGGTTTGAGTCCAGGCTGATGTGGTTCATTTGCTGAAGCACTGCTGATGGAAGTGGTTTCTTGGCTGGAGTATACAGAGCAGGGTTCTGCAGGAGGAAGGGATGACCAGCATGCAAAATAGTGTGGTATCTTTGTCAATTAATTTTATTTTTTTAAATAAACATGATCTAAAAGACAACTTATTTCTCAATTTTCTTCAGTGGGAAAAACTTTAAAAAGAAGATTTTACTGTTTACTTTTTTATGTATGGAACTTAAGCAAAATTTCCTTTCTGCTCTTAATAAATAAGAATTCTGAGAGCAGCAGTTGTCTTCAGATGTGTGTGTTGCTCTGTCCTGTTGGAGTGAAGTACTTCTTAAGAAGCAGCCATCCTGCCATTTAAAAAGCACTTTTCTAATGCTTTAGCTGTACAGGGATGTCATTCTGGGATCTCCAAGACTTTTCTGTGCTATGTAATGTGGTAAGTTGTTCTTCCTTATTCTGTTTTTATTTTAATGCCAGCTCAAGTGTGGAGGCTGCTGGATTTAATGAAGGATTGAAATGGGCAAAAGTGAAGTGCTTCACTATGGCACTAAGGTGAATTTTGGACCCTGAACAAATGGCCCAAAGGTTTGCTGTGCAGAGCAGGATCTGCTCTGGTTTTCTGGGAGCTGTTGGTGGGATGTGCTTGGAGCCTGGAGGCTGAAAGCCCAGACCTGCCCAGGAGGTGTCTTGCTAATGGTGATGGAGAATTGTCTGCTGGGAACCCAGAGCACAGCAGTACTTGAGAACTGTTTATTTTCTGAAAGAAGTGGATGTGGCTTGTTAAAAGTAAGTGACAATAGAACACTAAATCAGAGCCCCACTTGGCTGTGGGAATGGTAATGTGTATTTCCTGTGACAGCCCAGTGAGTGGAAAACTCTCACAGGAAAGGAGGAGAAACTCCAGTTCCTCCCTCGCCCAAAAACCCTTCTTCCATCTCCTGGGAGAGACCCAGCATCAGTTTATCGTGGACAGAGGTAAAGTTTCCAAGTTGTCCTTGGGGAGACACAGGATGCTGGGGCTGGAGAGAGAATGTAGGGGGAGAAGAGCTCTGGTTCAGTCAGATGTTTCTCTTAAGGAGGGAAGAAGTGGGGCTGGCTCCTGCTTGGGGCATTGCAGGCAGTGGGAGCGAGATGCTGACTTCTCCATGGCAGGATATCCAGGTACAGAAAGTGCAGTCTTGGCTTTCCCTTGGTTGGAAGAGGCTTGCATCCTTCCTCAGGTGGTGCTGCTCACTCAGCAAGAGTGGTGGAGTTTGGTCACACAGCCTTCAGGGCAGCAGCTGTCACAGTTCCAGATAACTGAGATGTAGATAGCATTCATGCTTAGTCTATCTAATCTGCTTTCATCTGGATGAAGGTTCTGGCTGGGTGAGCCCAGCCTCTCACTGCTGCTCTTCGGGTGGTGGAGAAGAGCTCGCAGGACTGGCAGTGCTGGAAGCTGCTGAGTCTTCCCACTATGGGATTCCTTCCATCAGATGGGGGTGGGTGCAGGACACAGGATTTTAGGATGTCCCTGCCTGGGGTGTGAGTGCCCAGTGGGGCAAACAGGGGGAGTTGTTCTTTGTTTTTAGGGTTTTGAGATCAAGCTGCTTTGACTAACTTCTCACTGATGCTTGTGACTGATATGGTGAAGAACTGAAGTCTTTAAGGGGCTGTCCAGGTCCAAAGAAGCTGTTAGGAGGGAATCTAATGCCTGTTGCGATGGGGAAATGCACTGTGATACCTTTTCCTGAGCTTTTCATCAACCAAAAGCTGGAGTGACCTCAGGGATCCCTGCCCGTGTCTGTGCAGATCAGGTTTCAGTGTTAGCAGAGGACAGCATCCTGTTCCTAAAGAAACATTACTGCTCGTAACCCAGCCATGCAGGCCGCTGCTGTGGGTGTAGGCATTGTATAAATGCCTGTAACAAACAATGGAACATGTGAACTTTGGCACTGTGCGTTGCAGTCCTGTTGTTTGTGATCATAGGTTATCTCAGATACGCTTCTAGGCATAAAGTTGCTGGAGGAGGTGGAGGAGGAGCAGCATTTGCACCCCAATCTTTTGACACTTTTTCTCACTCTGTTGCATGCAGAAGATGCTGTAGAGGGAAAAGCTTTTGCAACAGCAGCCTCTCTGCTTCCTGCAGCACTGCATGGACCTCACATCATAATGAGGTTTCCTGTAAAACCACTGAGGGAAGCTGAGGTGGTGCTGGACTGCTGCATGCTGTGAGAATTGATGGAGGTTCCCTGCCTTCAGCAAGGGCTTGGTGTGGGAAGAGGACGTGCTGAGGTAGCTTGGGCTCTGCTTCATCTGAGCATCAGTTTTGTTTCATGTTTGTGTTTTCTTCCTACCCTGCATTCATCCAGTGCCTCGCTGTGCCTGCTTTCACTTGGGAATGGAGTTATGGAGAGGTTTAATCCTCAGGGGATGAAGGCCACAGCAATGTTCTGAGGTCAGAGGCAGGGGGGCAGCGTGCTGATAGGAGCTGTGTTTATTATTCTGCGCTTATCTGGAAGCACTCAGCAGTGGTGACTGCTGACTCTGTTAAGATAAATACACACACATTTGCTGCTGCTGTGACACACGGTCACACAAACCTTATCTTCCACACAGGGCAGCTGTGCAGCAGAACCAAAAGCACAGAGCCCGTGCTTGGCTGTACCACTGCACTGCTGGGAGCTGTGCTCACAACTTATCAGAACAAATGAGCACTTTCCTGTTCAGGGCAACGTTTCCTGGCATTGCTTTATTTACTGCTGCAGGCTTAGAGCAAGTGTGAGGCAGACCTTGAGCAGGAGGGAGGATTTAAAACGCACTGAGTTCTGCTGGTTGGCTGCAATGTGAGCTGAGCAGGGCTGCAAGCAGCTGCTCTGGGGGGCAGTTCAAAGAAAGGAGGGGATTTTCTTCAGCACCTGCCCTGCTTTTCAGCACTGTACCTGCTTGCTTCACTGCTCTTGCTCAGGGCTGTGCAGGCTCTGGGTGTTACAGGGCAGGGTGTTAAAGCTGTTGCTGGATTGTGCTGAGCAGGTGAGTAAGTAGTTCTATCGCTCGAGCTGAGCACCCCAATCAAGGAGCCCCTGATGCTCACAGATCAGAAACATCGCCAGTCATGAAGGTGTAGGAAAGGAGGGCTGAGCTGCGAGGAAGTCAGAGCATGGCCCAAGGGAAAGAGACAGGAGAAGGGGGGCGGGGGGGGGTCAGGATTTAAGGGGCAGATTGTGGCCCTGGGCTTTTTTCCTTCCTCTTTCATTGAATCATAGCACGTGTAATATGTCATAAAATACATTGGAATCCCTTTCTCGAGGAAGGGATCCATTCTTGCACACCTCCATTCTCTTTGCAGCAGCAGTCACTTTCCCTGGGGTGTTTCTCAGGCAGAAGCAAAGCAGCTGCAGCTTCCAGCCCTCCAGGCACTTAGTGATGCTTCATTACTCAAGAGCTGCTGCCAGAGCAGGGACCGCTTCCCTTCTCCTCCATGAGACGTTACACAGCTCAGAAAGTCAACGACTTCTCCAAACGGCACCGAATGAGAAGGAAAAGTGGGAGAGTGGTTTTTGCAGACAGGATAATACTTGATTATGAACGCCCTGCATTTCCGCTTCCCCTTTTGTGGGGGGGGAGATTAAAAAAAAAACATTTTTGAATGAAAAAAAAAAGCACAGCTGAAGATCACTACTCTTTAATCTTCAATTTCCCATAGGCTGTTTGTAACTATCTCACTACCATGATTTGGGACTCGTGGAGGCAAAGAAGCCATCTCAGAGTGCCAAACCCCTTTGTGCCCCAACAAACAGTTCTCATCCTCCCCACCCCAAACAGAAGTGGAGCAAAAAGTCACCATCCTTATTCCAGCACGGCTGGGCACATTGCTGCTCTTTCCTTCTCTGTTCAGCAGCACTTCTGCTGCTTCTATTTGTGCATGGCTGCACCCACAGCTGCTCTCCACCAACTCCCCTTTGCTTCTGGCTCAGTTCTGTCACAGTTCCAGCAGCTCTGACCAAACACCTGCAGGTGGATCATGGCTCGTTGGGCAGTGCTGCTATAAAATGTCTCATGGGGCCTTCAGCAGCTCAGTGCCACCATGGGGGATGTAGGAGGAAGGAAGTTATATTAACAGATATTGTGATGACTGAGATGGGACAGTTTGACCATGGAGAGGAGGACGGAGTTCTGTCTTTCTCCATATCTCCTGCTGGGGAAAAAAGCAAGCATCGCTCCCTGCTCATCCCTTTTCTCCTCTGGGAAAGTCCATTGGCAGGGAGGAACTGGGCAGACCTGCAGCCCTTGCTTCCTGTGCAGGTGCATTAGAAAAGAGGGAGAGCTTTAAGAGTATTTAAGAGTATTTTAAGTCTGCTGCAGGCATCACGCTTGAGTGGCAGCACTGAGATGAACCACAGTGAGAGAGCAGAAGTTGGCATCAAACCCAGCAGCAAGGAGAACATGGCCACGTTTTACTATGAGAGTTAACCAGCACTTCCTCCTCCTCCATTCTGCTCTCTCTGCTGCAGATCAGAGCCCCGTGCCCTTCAGGTCTGCTTATGGTGTGAACAAGTAACCTGTTGGTTCATTTCCCCAAGCAGCTGCAGCAGGATCATGGCTCCATGCAGTACCAACAAAGACAACAGCTACAACAGATACTAGAATCCTCAGAAACCTATTCCTACCTATTTGCCAAACCTATCTTTGTCTTACTTAGAAATTAACAATGTTTCCTACTCATCACTGGTCCATTTTTTCCTTTAGCAATGGCCGGTCCTGCAGCTGCCCTCCACTTCCATCCATCAGCACACAGTGCTGGGGTTCCCCAGGAGCTCAGTGTGGGGCTGAGCACTGAGCCACGTTCCTGTCCCAGCCAGGTGGGAGGAGACACCCCAGCCTCCTCGTGAGCTCTGTGCAAAACTATTTGCCAGTGCAACAGTGCCCTGAGGGAAAAGGGAAAGGGCAGAAACCGGTGCTCGGTGCTTTCCATGAGTTTCAGGCAAGACAGACCCAGCAGAATCCGGAGTGCTCTGCCCTTGGATGGACACAGATGGAACACACAGCCCTGCTGGGTGCCGTCCCTTCAGGCTGCTCTCAGGAGTCCCTTCGGTGCTTCTTCTGCTGCTGGTATTCTGTTATCTTCTGCTGGAAGTATGCTGTAGGCACAGGAGGGTGGGTTGTGGTCAGCAAACAGTGCGTGGAACTGAAAGGTGGTGCATGGGGATGGCTGGTCACACTGGGTTACAGAGGGCTACATCCAGGGGAGGTGGGGGTGAAATCCACCCAACACCACTTCCCCCCCACAGTGAACTCAGATTACACTCAGATGGGTTTTCACCCACATATTTGTTCCTGTTTTTGGGCTTCGTACCCAACCAACAAGGAAGAAAGTGGGAGACCATGAGTGTGCAAGCAGCCAAAAAGGTGACACAGCAGGACCACAACAGCTTGGATTCTGCCCTCCATCTGCTGCAGCTCTGTCCCTCTGTACCCTGGGCAGGGCAGATCCATCTCCAAACCAAATGTTTGTGCTGCTATTGGCTGTCTGCCTAAGTGACAAAATGAGCCCAGGTGGTTTTGACTTAATAGGAACAGAGAAATGCACTGAGGGTAAACGGGTGCCCTGAGCATCCCCAGCACAGAGCTGCATTCCTGTCTGGATATGGGGCGTTTTTTCCCCTTCTCCACCCCCACCCCAGCACCCTACAGCCCCCTTTACCTTCCTGTGGGATCCTGCTCTTCTCTGCATCCTCAATAAATAAGGAGAACATGTTGGTCTTCACAAACTTCTTCACAAACCTGCGGTTGGTCTTGGAGGCGATGGCCTTACAGAATGCTCTCTCCTGGAAGCTGCCCAGGCCGTTTTTACTCCACTTGATGTGTGAGGGGTAATGCCCCACCAGACGGACAAAGAACTGCACGAAGGCCTCGGAGATGAGTGCATTCAGCTGCTCAGATGCTGGGGGAGGACATAGCATTAGAGGTGGAGATGGGATTCTGTTGCTCCCAACGGAGCCCAGGTCCCATTAGGAGAACCAGCTCTGTAGACTTAACCCCATGTAAAGAGTCGCCCTTACTGTGTACGTTGTTGTTGCTGTTGTGCCTGTTCAGAGATGCCAGCATCTCATTCTGCAGCTTGATGGGCAAGATCTCCTCCTCGTCACCCACCTGGAAGGCAAATGGGGCCATGAAGGATCAACGGGAACGCAGCTCACATGGCTGTGGAGGTGCTCAGGGGCTCTGTGGGGCCCGTAGTTATGGCATGCAGTGATGCTGGGGATGGGATGCCCCACACAGAGCCCCACACACAGAGGCTGCTGCTCATGGGGCAGCATAGCAGGTGGAGGAATCCCTTTGTGGGACACAACGACACAGAGTCATCAGATCATTAAAGTCAGATAAGGCTTCTGAGATCCCCGAGTCCAACCCCACCCCACTGTGCCCACCTACGTCCCTCAGTGCCACACGTCCACCATTCTGAACCCCTCCAGGGATGGTGACCCCACCACCCCCAGTACCAAAACCACAGCCCTGCCAGCAGGAGGCAGCTGGGACAAAGTGGGGAAGGGGCCCTTCCTGGTGCTGTCCCTCAGCCCAATGCCCTGAGTGGGGAACCTACCGCCCTGAGGATCTTCCCTTCACACAGATCGACTATCAGAGCCTGGAAGAGAGCACAGAACAGTGGGTTGAGCAACCACAGCCACCGAGACAATCCGCTGCATCTCCCAGCCCCATCACATCAGATCCCTCCTCTTCCCAGTGATCTCCGGACCCATTCACCCCAAGGAGAACCCCCTCTGGAATTTGAATGGGAAAATCCCAGTTGCTTGCTGGGGAACTTTCAGAGCTGGGACCTCAGCCATGGACATGCTCTGTGCTATAAGAGCACAGGGTACCAGTGCCTGGAGAAGGCAGTTTGGATGCCAGGGTTGTTCATCATTTTGGTACAAAGCCCTATGGCATGCCTCCTCCCCATTGCTGCTTCCCACCCAGCACAAACTCAGGGTCACAGCTGAACCCAGTGCTCAGCCAGACCCCTTCACCCCTCCTGGCTGCAATAAATACCTCCTCCATGGGCTGCTCCAGCACTCGCTCCAGGTGCCGCATCTGGATGCCAACCATGAAGGGCGTGGGGCAGCAGACAGTGTCAAGGAGGCATTCGGGGACCACGGGGATGTAGGTGTGAGCCCACGTGAAGGGGTAAAGGAGAGCAGCCACGGCATGGATGCACTGCGAGAGGACACTGCGAGAGCACGAGGAGCTCAACCTGTGCTCCTCCAAGGGTCTGGGGGGTGTTTTGGGAAAAGAAACAGCTCAGGACTCACCTCAGCTCCTCAGCCAGGAAGATGAGCCGCCTCTCCAGCACGGCAGAGGCGAAGATGTGCAGGATGAGGATGGGGCTGAGCCGCTGGAGCAGAGCTGGGAACTCCACGTGCTCCAGGTGGGCGTCCACAGGACGTGTGAGCTCAATGAGCTGCGGGGTGAGAGGCACCAAGGTTGGAGTAAGGGGCAAAACGTCCCTCCTGCGCCCACCTGAGTCTCCCAGATGATCTGGGAGCAATTAATGACCACAGCGCTGCCCAAACATCCTTCCTGGAGTTTGCAGCATCTGCATCAAGACCCTCTGCAAAGCACAGGCTTCCTCTTGTCCTGCATGGGGATTTGGGACATGCAGAAACAAAACGCAAGGGATGCCACAAGCAGTGCCCACTATAGCATTTATTGATTAGGGCAACGGAGTTGTAACCCAAAGTTCTCCAGTGCTGATGAGGCCCCAGTAGGAGATCTCAGCACACAGCCTATGAGCAGCACTGGAGAAAGTCGCCCAGGAAAGGGAGGAGGGCACAACTTCTGCTATGAAAATCACACAAACTTCCTCAAAAGCCATCCCAGGAGGGCAGGCACGCTTCATGCTTGCAAGGATGGAAAGGTGAAACATCAAGCAGGTGTTTGGTGGTGGTTTGTCCCTTCAGCTGGCTTTGCCCTGGGTGCACAGCCCCCAGCAGGGAGGTGTGACACAGCACTGTGAGAGGTGTGACAGCACTGTCACCTCTTCCCACCTTGCCTGCCCTCTGGGACCATCCCTGCTGTCACACTGCCATCAAAATGCTGTATTCCCAGCAAGCAGCACATGGCCTGGCCACGCTCCACAGCCTCTTCCAGCACAAATCCTGTATGATGTCCAGCTCCCAGCCCTTGCAGCACCCAGGATGTGTTTTCAGCCCTTTTCCTGGGATCTCCCTGCCTCATTCCAGCCCCTGCCTGGAGCCTCACATTCCATCTCTTCCAAAGAATGTCCCCATGCGCCCTGCTTCCCCATCACCCCCAGCCACGCTCCTGCAGCCTGGCCCTCAGCCAGAGCATTGAGCAACGTGCAAAGCCCTTGCACAAGTTTTCCTGGATGAAGAAATCCCTTGTAATTTGATAGGCAGCTGCCAAATGGCACTAAGGAGGGAGGATCCTGCTCTCGGCCCCACCCCAGCAGGACACATCCTAGGGATGTTGCAGAACCCAGGGCAGATCCTTCAAATTTTTCACTGCAGTTTCACCGTAAGAGAAAGGAAAGAAACAGAACAAGCTCTGCTTGTGCTAACCTGGCCTGGTGCTTTGCATGGGCGAGGTGGGCACCGTGCCCTGCTCAGATCTCTCTAAGCAGCACTGCAGGTAAGAGCTGTGCTTGCTGCATGCCTCCAGCATGCCCTTGGTGCTCAGCTGAGGCGGTGCAGAGGGCGAGCTGCAGCCTGCACTGCTGGGTTGCAGCCCCAAGGCAGGGGTGTGAACCAGCACAGCCACAGCACAGCAGTGCTGACACTGAGGCTGTTTGAGCACTGGTGCCTAGGAACAGTGTCAGGTGAGGTTTTGCACTGAGAGCTCCGGGCTGATGGAGCTGCGAAGTGGCATCACCCACAGGTGGGCTCCATCCTCATCCTCACCACTGCTCTCACCCATGGGAGGCGGCACCTCTGCCCCCCAGGGCACAAAGTCCTCACTGCCCCATGGAGACAACCCCACGCTGGAGCAGCACAGAAGGTGCTGAGTCCCCAAAACCAACCTCTGTGCCCGACTCGGGGATGAAGCTTTTAATGGTGACGGTTTTCCCCGGAGCTGGAAAGGGCGATTCCCGCAAGCCCTGCATGAAGGGGTAAATCACAGCCATGGAGATCTGACGCCTCTTCTCCACCTCATCCAGGATCTGAGGGAGGCAAAAGGAGGTCATGAGATGCCAGCAGGCAGCAGGGCGGCCGCCTGGCACAGTGGTACCCACATAGAGCCCCACCTTGGAGAAGAGCCCGAAGCAGCCCAGGCAGCTGATGATGCAGAAGACCTCAGGGAGGCGGACGCCGCGGCCAGAGGGCTGCAGGAGGATTGGAGAAGGGGTTGAGCATCTCCCAGCCCCATCACATCAGATCCCTCCTCTTCCCAGTGATCTCCAGACCCATTCACCCCAAGGAGAACCCCCTCTGGAATGTGAATGGGAAAATCCCAGTTGCTCACTGGGGAACTTTCAGAGCTGGGACCTCAGCCATGGACACGCTCTGTGCTATAAGAGCACAGGGTACCAGTGCCTGGAGAAGGCAGTTTGGATGCCAGGGTTGTTCGTCATTTTGGTACAAAGCCCTATGGCATATTCCTAAACTTTCCTCCCCATCAGGCACCTCCTGCCCCGTTCCTGCAGCTAATCCCACCTCCTGATAAAACAGCACCACCGAGTGCCCAGGTTGCTCTTTCCTTTCCACCTGGATGCTCCTACACTCATTTCCTCTTTGTGCTTTCAGTCCTCCAGACACCCGGTGCCAAAATCCTGAGTGCAGATGTGGGCAGGGAAGGACAGGATGGTAGGAAAAGCAAGTCATTGAACGTGTGCTGCAGCCTCATGGCTTTCTGTCCCTATTTAAGTATCCTGCATGTGAACTGAGGCCCAAAGGAGAACTCCATCGTGCCCCCATGCTGGCCAAAATCTGTGAGCTGAGAAGCAGCCACTGACCAGAACACGGGATGGGGCTGAGAGCACCCAGCTCCTCCATACCCACATGGCAACACACACATCCCTCTACCCAGTGCTGGTAAGGGGATGGCACCTCCCACATCCCACCTCTGATTTGGGCTGCTTTCCTCCACCCAGCACCCAACTGACAACCCAGCAGATTAAAAAACCAAACAAACCCCAAACCCATCGGGCAACCCCCACTGCTCATCACACCATGTCCCCATTGGCACAGCCACCACCAGTGCTCACCAGCAGCCTCCTGCAGTAACCAATCTTCCTGCTGCCATCCACATTCGTCAGGACGAAGGAAAAGGTTTCACTGCAAGGAGATACAGTGCATGGGCACAGGGCAGCTGACAGCCCACAGCCCCCCAGGTGGGACCACAGCAGGGCAGGTACCTGGGGAAGGTGGTAACGGGCTCCCAGTTGTTGCCATCGGGGAAGCAGAAGAGGGGGATGGCCTGCAGGAGCCGCTCCTCCTCCTCCTTCTGACCCTTCAGGAGGTTCTCACGCTGGAATGGAATGATGCCATTAGGGGGATGGATGGCACCCACAGGGGTGGGGTGGCACGGGGTGGCTTTGGGGTGCCTGCATGGGGTTCTTCCCTGCATGGCTCTGGTGATGGGAAAGGAAATGTCCCCTCTTTCCTCTTAACCTCAGAAAACCCATCTTTCCCCAGAAGGGTGCAGGACCAAATACCTTTGGGAACTGATATGCTATCTTGGGTTCATAATGCCCATCTGACATCTTCTTCAGTGAAACCACCACCAGGTACTCAAAGAAGAACTGCCCAGCAGAGTAGAGGACGGAGCTCCGCTCTCCTGCCTTTCCCAGAGGCACACAAGATGGGATGCTGTCCGCTGCAGGGGCCTCCTGCTTGCTTTCTGTAGCCAAAAAACAAAACCCAAACCAGCAGAGAACAGTGAAATTAAGGCTGGGAGATGTGCAGGGAAGGAGATACAGGGCTACGTGTGAACTGGACCTGGCACAAAGGGGGTTCTGGTCCCTGTGAGGGCAATAGTGATCGGCTGAGGACCCACAGGTGCAGGACATGGAATGGAAAGAGAGAACTTCAGTGAGTCTTCTAGAGGAAATCAAGGCACCATCAGAGCCCCACAGCCCTCCTTGACCCCATTCCAGATAGGTTGGGGATGGCCAGAGCAATGCCTGGGCATGGGAGGGGGGGTGGAGAGCAGAACCACATGGGAGTGCTTTCAGAGCACTTTAATTTGTCTCTTTAGGGGGACAAAGAAACAGCAAACAGCCAGCACAGGTCCTGTTTGAGCACCTCCAGGGGCTCTGTGAGATGAATCCCAATGTCTCCCTGCCAGATGCACTCAGTCCTGGGAACTGCTGATTGCAAATGAGATACCAGAGGGTTTTCCTTAAACCACAGCTCCCACAGCAAAGCAGTTCCTTGGAACTGCACCCTTTTTCTTGTTCAGCTGGTTGGGAGAGCAGCTGGGGAGCGTCAGCTTCACAGCCCCAAAATGAGAAACAAGAATGAGGAGAGCCCACACCAACATGCCCAAGGGTGCTGGGATGCTCACGGTGGGACAGCAGTATCGAGGGCTGGGAGATGAGCTCAGTACCTGTGCTTGGGTACATAGCAGGCAGGAAAATGGGCACGCAGCTGGATTAAATCCAACTCCTGCAGTCTGTCCCTGTATCCCAGAGATCAGCTATGGGTTCCCGTGGCAGCTTGGCCACAGTCATGCACCTTTAAGGCAGGTCTGGTGGGCACCTACAGCCTTCAGTCTGCAGACATTCCCAGCTGTGGATTTTCACCCCTCCCTCCCATGGGCACAGAGAGGACAAAGGCTGCAGCACTGCACCCTGCCCGCAACGAGGGCATTGCAAGAAAGAGTTCGTGCTGCACACGCAGCTTCCCACACTGACAGCAAGTCCCTTATCAGCCAAAGGCAGAGCTGGGAGCTGCACAACCCGCCCCATTGTGCCCGTGCTGCCGGCTGAGCTCACCCCGTGCTGCCACCCACCTGCCCCAACAGAAAGGAAACGGTTTTCACTTTCTACTAAATGCTGTAAAAGCCCAAACACGGCTTTAGCTTGGTGCTGCTGAGAAAACCCCAATTTATGTCTCAGAAATGCTCACAGATCCTCAAAAACCGATTTCTGCACCATCCTCTGGTGTTACCGTACCCTGTGGGTACCAGGGCTGTGGGGCACAGCCACGATGCCGGGTTCTGGTTCACCCTGTGGTGCTGCCTTTGGGGACAATCCTTCCACGTGGGGGATCTCCTTATTGAGGTAAAGGTGTAAATATCTGAAGGATGGGGCAGACTCGTTCAGGATGGGTTTTGGTTGAGGTGGGTGGGAATAGGGCAGAGCAGGAGGGGTCGGGTTGAGAGTGTTGTGAACCCCGGAACCTGGGATAAAGCCCGGGGTTTGGGGTGAGCCCCCGGATAATGGATAAACCCCGGAGATTTAGGGCGAGCTCCCGCGTTTGGGACAAGCCCTGGGCTTTGGGATAAACCTCGGGATTCGGGGTAAGCCCCGCGGCAGAGGCTCGGGCTGAAGCGGACCGAACCGGTGCCGGTGCCGACGTGACCGCGCTACGCTGCCCGTGCGCATCCCCGCTCCGCCCGGCTCCCGCTGTCCCAGCACCGACCCGTCCCGTCGCATCCCGGCGGCCCCTCCCAGCGCTCACCTCTGCGGCCCGGGCGCCGTAGGCTCCGTCGGAAGAGGCTGCTGATGGAGGAGGCCATGGTGGCCCCGACGTGGAGCGGCCCCGGTGCGGCGCTGCGGGGAGCTCTGCTTCCGCCCGCCGAGCTTTCGCTTTCCCGGGGGAGGAGGGACGGGACGGGGCGGAGAGGAGAAGAGAGGAGAAGAGAAGAGTGGAGGAGCGGGGGGGGCCGGGCCGCACCTGGCGTCGGACGGAGATTGGGGAGACGGCACCGGGAACGGGGGGTGCGGGAAAAACGGGAACCGGGAGCACCGGGCACGTGGTTCTGGGAGCACCTGGGTGTGGGGAGGACCAGGAGCATCCCTGGGCACGAAGGAGCCGGGCATGGCAGGGATGTCCCACGGCAGCGGCCGCTCCGCCTCCCCGGGACTCTTGGGCAGAGGAAGGGGGCGAGGCTGAGCCGCCCCTCTGGAGGGCGGCGGTCCGGGGCTGTTTGCTGGGATGGGGGAGCAGCTCCAGCTGGCACCGCCGAGCTGCGATTTTGTCCTGGTGTGGGAAAGCTGCCGGGCCGCGCTTCCACCTGTGCTGCCGCTTCTCCGTGGGCAGAGCCCTGCACCCTCCCTCAGAAGCGCCCGGATCGGCACAGCTGTGAGGTGCGATGAGTTGTGCACAGTCCTCAGCCCCGCTGTCAGGGCAGTTTGCAGACGCAGCTTTCCTGTACCAAACACCCTCCTTTTGCCCCCGGTGAGGTCTCTTTCCCCACCAGGGCCATTGGGAGCCATGGATCCGGGGGATTTCTGCTGTTCTGGGGGTGGCTGAGCACTCGTGCTTCATGGAGCAGACGGCAGCAGGATTGTGTGCTGCTCCCAGGAGACATTTCCTGTTGGAACAGCAGGAGAATTAAAAATTTAGGGGTTTTCCCTTTCGATTTCAGAGGAAAATCCCTCCTTTCCTGGAAAACAGAGCCACCCTGGGAGAGCAATCATTGATTTCAGCCAGAAGAAATCCCCGAATTCCTTGTTTGGTAGTTGCTGTTTCTTTTCACTCCGCACGAAGCTTTTCTGCCTGCTCCCTTTAAGCCAAGCATGAATGCACTTCGCCATCACCTCGCTCTGCTCTGACAGCTTCTGTGCTGCGTTCCCAGCCCCAAACCTCTCTGCTCTGGATGAACACTGTCCCTTTGTGCCCTGGCCACAATCCGGCCGACCGTGCCCTGCTGAACTTGGAATCTTCCCACTGAGGGCTCCTTTCTGCCAGAATCCCACCGTGCCAACAAACAGACACATTGTGGGCTCTGCTGTGGGTGCACAGCCAAAACTGTTCTGCTTCGCTGCACTGAGCCCGGAGAGAGCTTTGTCTGTTCTTTTGTTTTGCTTCGTTCTTCCTTTGTGGCCCCGGTGCTGATGGCTGCGTGCTGGAATTCTGCAAGCGTGGTGCATTCAGGGTGCAAACGCCGTGCTGCAAACATTGCCCTGCAAAACCTTGAGTGTTGCACCAGGATCCTCTGCTTGCACTGCAGCTCCTCTTCCTGGTGAGGAAGTCCCATGGCTGCCCCTTTTTCCCCCTCCTCCTGCCCCCCTCCATTTGCCCACCCCCTCACTGGGTGCTGCATTTCAGAGCACCCAGGCTCAGCATCCCCACGGTGTAGGAGCTCATCTCATCCTGCCCATGGCCAGCCTGGAGCTGAGCACAGAGCAGGGGCTCAGGGGCCTCATAAGTCCCCCCACTCCCCTCTCAGCCTATGTTGGGTGACCCTATTGGGGTTAGGAGCCCCAGGGCCACATCTCCAGCCCCAAGTCCCCCTACCCCCATACCCAGAGTGCAGAGAGCCCTGTGTCCAACTCAGCCCCCCAGAACATGAAAGAAAACCTCATCCTTTAGTTTTAGGGATTGTTTTTTCTCAGAGCAGGGTACAGACCCAAGTCAGCCCTGCTGCTTTTCCTTGCAGTGAGACAGATTTAACCCCAAGCATTTCAATCTGCCCTCGGGACTCCTTGGAGGAGTTGATCAGCAGAGGGGCTCGGGCAGGACTGGTGCTGAGCTGCAGCCTCCTGCAAATATAGTGCAGGGAATCCGCTCCTTTCTGGGGCAGTTTGATGGTCAGGAGGTGCAGAGACGTCTCAGCTTACAGCTCCATGACCGGGCTGCATGCGGGCACCCATAGATGGAAAGGGCTGAGCTGCACAGCCTCAGGTGTAGCACGAGAGCTGAGCCAGGAGCTGATCATGGGTTAAAACACCGCCTTTGGGCTGTTTGGCACTGGGGGTTTTTCAGGGGTTAATTGCTGCATGCAATGGCTTTCCACCTGGATGCACCTGGTTTAACCCCCAGGTGCTTGCTGCCTCTTTTTCTGCACTTCTCCCTCCTCTTTGCTCCATGGCTGTGGGGCAGAATTAGCCTTCAACCCAGCTGGAGGAACCCGTGGCTGGAGTGGGGGCAGGTGGTGGCAGGAGGGTCTGAGTGGCCTTTACAAAGCCCTGGGCTTTGCAGCCCCAAAGCCCCGTGGTTGTGTCCCCTGCCTTTTGCTGGGCACTGTGGGGTGATGGAGGTGGGGATGAAGATGGCTCAGCCCCTGGAGGATGTGGGGCAGTGCTGGGGTAGCCAATGGGGGGGATACCCACATGAGACCTGCAGCCCCACACCTGGTGCTGGCCCAGACCTCTCCCCATATCCCTCTGAAGTACATTTGCAGCTCAGTGCCATCTGCCCTGGGGGGCAGTGGGTGATGAGAGCCCCCAGTTCTGCTGGCAGGGCTGCAAACCTCAACCCCAAACCCAGCTTGTACCCAAAGAGCTCTGTAAGATTTGCTAATCTCAAAATATTGTTGGCATCCAGGACAGTAATTTACTGCATGTTTTGCCACAGCAAGTACTTTCCAAAAGGCCATGCTAAGTTTACACCGGAGCAGCTGGGATCAGATGTCAGCTGCTGGCTGCTCCCTCTGTCCCCCTCATCCCCCTGTGCTGGGTGCAAAGGACATGGGTTCCCTGCACCATGCAAGCAGGAGGTGACGTGGGTACCAGGAAAGGGAACACCAAGGGTGCATTGGCCCATGCAGGTGGCAGGGTGGGTGCACGTCTGGCTTGCAGGTTTGTGCAGGGCACGTTGGTTTTGAAGTCATGCAGCCAGGGGTAAGAAATAGGCAGCCCTGGTGCCCAGGGCCTGACCACGTTTACCTTCTCGAGGGCTTTGCAGGTTGTGGAATTAAATCAGCTTCTCAGCTTTGGTGGCAGCTGAGCAGGAGTGCTGCACATCCCCACACATTACTGCAGCGTTCCTCCAGCCATGGGATCCTGAGGGCTTTGCAGGAGCTGGGGAGGAAGGGTGCTGTGGGATCCTGGGGTGTTTCCAGCCCACGGGTGGAGGGGGCTCTCTTTGCACTGATTCCATTGCAGTGGGGGCAGTTGTTCATTCAACACTTAGGATGTCCTCCTCCTCTGGAAGGACCGTGCTTTGGGGGGGGGCACAAGACCCTCATGTTGTCCATAGACCCCCCTGGGATTTCTGCCACCTCCAAACCCCAGGAGATGGAAGCAGCCCATCACAGCAAAAGCCACTGCCAGGCTCAGCCCTTGCTGGGTCACAGGGGCTGCGTGTGGTGTCCTTTCCCTGCAATAACTCACACGTGTCCCTGATGTGTTGGCATGAGCAGGAGGAGCACCCTCTGCCATGGCTGCTTTCTTGCTCTTTTGGGTTGAGCGATCAAACCCCCTTCATGCACTGATCCCCAGGTCCTGGCCCAGCTGCTCTGGAGGTGTTTTGGGGTGGTGATCCTCCAGGAAAAGCACAGGGCTGTCCTGATGTGGAAGGGGCAGCAGAGGTGGGTCAGGACGGGGAGCTCACATTCCCCATCCCTTGCAGCAGGCACACGTGGAGCCCACGCATCCAGAACAGACCTGGACCATATCTGTGGGGACATCAGGGACAGCGAGGACCATGAGAAAAAAGGCATCTTCCCAAATTCTGGAGCAGTATCTGGAGGTTTTAGCAGGGATCCAGCATGAGGACTGCTTGGTTAAATGTCCCCATGATGCTCTCTGGTGGCAGCAGGGAAGGGTGCAGCTGGGCCACTGTTGGACAATCCTGAAGTGGGTTTGTTTTCCCAGTTCTTGGGGTCTGGAGCAAGTCACAGCGACGTGGGCACGGTCTGACCTCTCATAGCCCATCCCATCCTGTAAACTCTGCAGGGAGGGGGCATGGCAGGGAGGTCCTGAATGACGGTGCCTGGATTAGAAGGAGACTTTGGGGTGGGGGGATCCAGGATATGCCACCCCTTGTCCAAGGTTTGCCCCTCTCAGCATCACAGCATCATGGGCAGGAGCAGCACACGTGGCACCTGTGCCAAGGGGGGGTGTGAGTGGAAACATTTAGGGCAAGAAAATGAGAGATGCGAATGGGAGAAAGAAGCTGGGGAGGGAGGTCTGCAGTGCTGATCCTGCAGGAGGGACGGGGGAGAAGCCCTGGAGATGTCAGAGTTGTGTTTGGCAGCTGGTGGAGGCAAGGGGATGCTGAAGACCAAGTGAGTGCGTGCCTTAGGCTGTAGCTGGCAGTGGGATGTGTTTTACACCAGGGCTGGGCTACCTGGGATGCACTGGATGCTACCTGGGGCTGCAGGCACCGAGCTCAGCAAAGCAGGATTCTGGGTTATGCTGTCTGCAGTCTGTCCCACAGGGAGACCAGGCAGGGCAGGTGGTGACAGAGCCTTATTGGCGTCCCCAGCTGCTGTCCCTGGCCCGTGGTGGAGGTGACCCCCAGCAGGCTGAGGACAGCAGGGCTGGCATGGGCTCAGCCAGGCATAGGTAAGCTCCTGCTGGCAGCAGTGGAGGAGGAGCAGGGTTGGAAAAAAAGCCATAGGAGGCAAAGCAATGCATTAGCTTTGTTGTGCCTTCTGGGTGCTGGATGTGGGTGACTTATGGGGTGCCAAGGCTCACAGGTGCTTCTGCCTGCTCATGCTGACCTGGGAGGCTGCTGCTCCTGCCCTGTGCAGCTGCGATGTGCAGTGGGACTGCCTCAGTGGTGGCACTGGTGATACCACTGTGACACAGCATTCCCCATCAGGCTGCCACCTCCAGGAAAGCTGAGCCAGGCTGTGATCCCAGTGAGGCACTGGGCAGAGTCTGGGCATCCCCACTTGGGTTTCTCTGTTGCTGTCCCCCTGCCAGCTTGGAGGATGGTTATCCCATTGCTGCCCAAAAATAGCACCCTGAAGATGCTAATAGGGCTGAGTGTTGGCGTCCCCCTGCCTGCATCTGGCTGCTCCAGTGGAAGGACTTCAGCTCCAACCTCCAACAGTATGGTTTGGTGAGCTGGTGCTGGGGTTGGGTGATCCCCAGGTGCCAAATTGAGCCACAGGGACGCTGAGTGTTGATGGTGTGAGATGATGCGTGATCACACCATGGGGACAATCCTCCAGCATCCACCAGGCTGGGCAGCACAACCCATATTTGCATTCCCAGCTGATACCCCAATAGGAGCTCAGAGACACCCTGAATCATGCTGGATGCATCTCTCGATTGCCTGGCTACGCGTTCTACACCAGACAAGGACATTTTAAAGTCATCCATCACCTGCCCTGGGGGCTTCAGAGGAGGGGTTGCTCCCATGTCCCCTCTGAGTCCCTGCCTGTGCTCATTGCTGTGGGGTGAAGTAAGCATCTGCTTGCGTGCGGTGCACCAGACGGAAAGCTTGTCTGCATCTCAGCCCACCTGCCGCCTGCCCCGGTGCTTGACTCAGCGTGCTGTGAATATCGTGGTGACGGGCAGCCTGGAAATGCTGCTGGAGCCTGGAAGTGACGGCAGACATGACACGACCCTGAGCTGGTGGCTGTGGTTGGTGGCTGCGTGATCTCCGTGTGAGCTCCATGGTTTTGAGGAGGTCTGACTTAACCCCTGCAAGGAGGGGTTGTGCTCCAAAGGGCTTTGGACACCTCCTTTGGGCATTTGTCTGGGCTGGTTGGGGTGTTTTCCATGGAATCCCAGCCCACACAGCGTGGACAGGACTGGAGTGGCCATACGGAGGAGGGGATGACTCCAGGTCTCTCCCTTGAGTGGCTTTGCCCATATCCCACTGTGGGGTGACAGTGAGGACTGTGAGATGCTGAGTGTCTCCTTCCCCACCCTGATACAGGCTGTGAGTGGCTACTCCTTGACAACACCCCAGGAAGATAAAGAGGGCTTGTGAAGGATGCCCATGAAAGGGGAGTTAGACTGGCTGTTCTTTAGGGTTCCCTTCCAACCCAAACCATTCTGCAGTGTGATACAACAACCTGGCTCTGTCCTCTGCTCAGTGACACACACTGCTCCTGACAAGGACCTCACGGTGCCATACTTGCAATTACTGGTGGCCCAGGTGACAGAGTGTGACATTCACCTGCTGCTCATAGTCCTCCTGGGGCGCAAAGAGCCTACCTGGGCTCTCCAGAGAGACTCATGGGGATACGAGATGGGATGAGTCCAGAGGATGTCCAACTTTGAGGAGCCCTTTTTGCCCACACAACGTGGCCTGTTTGTTGATTCTGGGTCTTTGGCTCCAGGATTTGGTCCAACCATTGGAGGAATCTTCTGTCTTCCCCCACCGACACATCAGTTGTTGCCATTGGGAATGGCCCTGCCTGGGTTTTCCCCCATCCCACCCATTGTGTCCCTGATGCAGTTTCCCAACCCTAATTTCTTTTAGGGTTCATCCATGTTCGTCCCTTTGCGATGGGGTCCTGTCAACAAGCCCAGCAAGAAATGCGACCATGCTGCTTCTTTTCTGGGGGGAGTGGATTACAATGGCACGAGAAGGACCTGATCCTGTAAAGAATAAAGGAAATTCTCAATATTTAGTCCTGTGTTTTACCCAGAGGATAGGTAAGGCATATCAGTGGAGCTGTGGGCTGGAAATATTGGCCAGAAACAATTTACAATAGTACCTTTTTTCCTATACAGAAGAGATAATTTCTCACTGGAAAATATGAATCCCTGTATTTCATCTAAACCCTGAAATACTTTGTTTTTCAGGCAAAATGTACCGATACTTAAATTATTACTAAAATTTTAATGTCCAACTCCCAGCTGCCTGCTGGGACAGCGCAGCCCACTCGATGCACTCAGTTTTCATGCTGAGGTGGAGCACTCTCCCCATTGGACATCTCCTTTTGCCCCCATCTCCCACCCCAGTGGGTTTCTCCTACTCCCCCCACCAACACAATAACTTCAGCACCCCACAAAGCACGAGTCCTTTTAGGACACTCTGCTCCATTCTTTTTGAAGAAGTGTCTCCTTTGGCCCCGTTTCCCCCTCCCCATCATTCATTCACAATTGAAGATGTTGGGGTGAGTGACCAAACCTTAAGGCTGGTCCCTTTGGGAGCCCTTTGACTTTGGGTTTGGGCAACCAGCCACGATGCCTTGGTGACCCACGTCAGGGAGCTCAGTGTTTCTGTACTTGAGTGTATTCAACGTATGGTGGCCTCGCTGGTGATGTGAGAATTAACAAGATGCCAATATACTACGGTAACGTGGCCCAGATAAGCCTGGGTGATAAGCCGTGTTGATTCATTTGCTCTTAACCTATGAGTCATCCTGTGAGTCAACAGAGAAAACAACATGGAAACGTCACCCAGCAGGTCCTAAAAACTCAGATTTTGTTCATATCAAGAACTGCGAGTGGAATAATTGCATTGATGTTCCTTTCCAGGGAAAAATGTTTAATTTGCAACTGCACTCACACAAACAGAAATAGAAATCAGAGTGCTCATTTCCTTACAGACTGGAGTTTTGGTATTGATCTTCTTTTTAATTCTTTTCTCTGAGCTTTTAAAATTGCTTTTCTCGACACACAATCAAAAGAAAATTCCTCTTTGCAAAGTGTTCTGGTTTAGATTAGACATCACAATCATTTCTGGGAGAAAAAAATGAAGGCTTCAAGCAGAGTTGGTGCACAAAATGGCCACCCGTGAGCTGATGGGAAAGTCCACCACCACATGGGCCAGGCGTGAGCCAGCCATTAACAAAGCCAAGTGTTGGCTGAAGTCCCCCATGGAGGTACCACTCAGAGATACCAATGCCAGCTCTGGGCAGAGGTTTTGGGAGGTCTCATCCCACCTTCATTTAGATTGAGGAGGTCAAAGGCTGGACAAAGTCTTGGTGGCTCAAGGCATAGAGGAAATGGAGTTTTCCCCAATCCTATTGCCCAGGGAATGGAGGCTGGTGGAGAACGACGGGGGCAGGAGTGTTGTGCTGCAGATTGCAGACTCTGTAGCCAATGAGGGGAGTGGGGTGTTGGGGGATTGTGCTCACATTACTTGATCCCCCTGTGACTTGCAGGGCCGATGGCTGTGATGAGTTTTCTTCTCGCCTTACAGGAGCACGGCAGGCAGAAAATGGGAGGTCTCCTTCGTGTTCTCCCTGGGGGCTGGCAGTCACCCTCTGCTGTGTAGAAGACCTCAGGCAATGCCTTTGTGCAGCCACCAGTGCTTGCTGTCCCTGTTTCCATGCCCAGAAGATCATCTCCGTGCTTGGCCAAACCCAGCACCCAAGTAGCACCCAATGGGCCCAACAACCAACAGTGTTGTCCTGGCCACTTTTCTTCCCACCAGCTCCATTACCCACCCGGGGTCCTCCTCCCCATGGGACACATCTTCAAAGCTCTGTCAATCTTTTCTTGGACGTTACCCTCTCATTAAACACCAGCCTGGCCCCTGGGGTTTTGCTTTCCTCCACCCCCCTCCAGGGTGCCCCCAGCTTCACCCAGAAAACCTCTCCCATCAGATCATCTGGTCCTGTCAGAGCACAGAGCTCTGTGCTCCAGCTGTCCCTGAGTGCCCTCTTGACCCTGATGTTTGTGTCTGGAGGTGTTTCCTGGGGACCACGTAGCTGTGAGCCTTTGGAGAAATGCCCAGAAGCTCCTCCATACAGCATCCATGGAGGGAAAGAGTTGGGGAGAGGAGAAAACACTCCGTTGACCTGAATTTGAGGAAGGCTAAGGAATTAGACCATAGGTTACAGAGGCATTTTTAGTAGCATACCATGCATGATATGGCAGCAAACAAAACAAGGACAGGCAGGGGGGTGAGTGGGTTTATATCCTATAGACTAACATGGCTTTGGGTTACTGTGGTCCTTTGGGATGAATTGGAATGTGAGGTTGGCAGAAAGGTGGCTGGATGTGACCAGACCCCATGGACACAGTTCTGCTTTGTATGTGCAAGGCAGAGTCAAGGCTGCAAGACACTGCAAGGCTGGACTTTGCTCAATGTTTTCCAGGAATGTGGGTCAGAAGGGCTGGGGAAAGCACAGAGCAGGTGTCCATGGGGCTGTGCTGAGGATCGTGACAGGGAAAACAGCCGTATCAAGGCCAAGGAGCTGTGGGGAGAATATGGAGAGAGGGGATCTGGGGCTGACTGTGGGACTGGGGAAGGGTCAGGTGCTCAGGTAGGAGCTAGGAGAGAACCTGGGTGCAAAGAAATGGGGAAGCTCATAAGCATCTTGCCTTGGTGACCCCACTTTGGTGAGGGGTTGGTCTGGATGATCTCAAGAGGTGCCTTCCAGCCTCAGCTCTTCTGGGTTTCTGGGACTGAGCTGGGGAGCAGAGTGCTTTAGGTTATGGCAGGGAATAAGGAAGGACCTGGGGGGCAAAAGGGTCAGGGGAGCAACATGGAGATCAGGAGATGGAGGGGTCTTATGTGGGACAAGGCATGAGGTGTGTGGGGTGAGCACAGAATTTGGGGCCGGCAGGTAACCACGGAGGTGGCATTGGGGGGGTGGGAAGCTCACAGTGGTGTTGGTGTGGGAACAGGAGTTGTGTCCCCAAAGAAAGGTGACCTGGCCCTGGCCTGCGCAGTCCCGTGCAGGCATGGGGGGAGTGGGGGGGCAGGACCATGTGTTGCAGCCCCATAGGAGGGGGTAGGGGCGTGCTGCTGAATGTGCAGGTCCCGGGTGGCTATTCCTGGAGGCCCCCGCCTGCGCAGGCAGATTGGTTTGCAGGGAGGTGACAAGTGCCAGACCAAGCCTATAAAAATCTCCAGCCCCTGCCCTGGCTCAGTGACCCGATTCCCCCCTCCCAGCACAGCCGTCCTGCAGCACAGCCCGTTCCTTCAGAGTGGAGATATCGGATCCGGAGTGGAGATTCCTGATCCAGATCAGGGACCCCAGCTTCAGAGCTAAGATCCCAAGTCTGGAGGACAGACCTTTGGTTTGGAGCGGAGACCCCCACTGAGAGCAGAGATCCCGGAGCAGAGACCCCAAAACAGCCCCTCGGCTTTGCAGCAATGACCGGCAAAACGGCTCCAGCTGCTGCAAAGAAAGCACCAGCCTCAAAGAAAGCACCGGCACCAGCCTCTAAGAAAGCACCGGAACCAGCCCCAAAGGAAGAGCCAGCACCGACCCCAAAGGAAGAGCCGGCACCGACCCCAAAGGAAGAGCCAGCACCGACCCCAAAGGAAGAGCATGCCCCAGCCCCCGCTGCTGAAACACCCCCAGCCCCCGAGCATCCCCCTGGTGCGGAGCATCCTGCGGCCCCTGCAGCTGAGCACGCTCCGGCCCATGAGGCTGAAGCTACTCCAGCCCATGAGGAAGGATCCCCCCCTGCTGCCCCAGCTGAAGCTCCAGCCCCAGAGCCTGAGCCTGAGAAACCCAAAGAAGGTGAGGAGGGGACTGGAGAGTGAAGTGGGGAGGGGAACGTGCGAGGATGAGACAGGGACACGTACTGGTGAAAAGTTGGGACATGAGATCAGCGGTGATATTTTGGGAGGGGGGCAGGGCTGGGGGAATAGGGGTGGTTGGGCTGATTGCTCCCCAAGAGCCCACAGCCTGCCCTCACTCTGTGGCCTTGTTGCAGAGCCGCCCAGCATCCCCTTGTCCTTGGCTGTGGAAGAAGTGACTGAAAACTCTGTTACGCTGACCTGGAAAGCACCGGAGCAGACGGGCAAATCGAGCCTGGATGGATACGTGGTGGAGATCTGCAAGGATGGAAGTAGGCTTGGGCTTTCCTGCCTCATAAGCATGGAGAGTGGGCACGGTGCTGCAGAGGTGTGGGATGGAGCTGGGTGGAACTTGGCAGCACCTTTCTGTGCACCCCATTTTCCTTTCTTTGCCCCAAATACTTTGATTTAAATGGCATATATATTTTTTTACCTTTAAAGGAGAGGGTCATCCCGTTGGCTTCAGGTATTGGTGGTCTCTTTAGCAATGGGCTGGACTGCAGGGGTTTAACATCACTTCTGTATCCAGCTAGAGGGTGGAGGAGGGAGCAGCATGCCCATGGGGGATGGTCTCTTGTGACCATCAGCTCTACATGAACCTTGGATTGGGACGGGCATACAAGACCATGGGAGGAGAAAGACATAATTCTCCCACGTCTGCTTAAAGGAATGGGGATAAGATGGGAGGATGAGAGAGGAAAGTGTTCTGCGGGGTGGTGTGAGAGGCTGACGTGTATCAGCAGGCAAGCCCAGCCCCAGGAACACGGGGCTCAAAGAGCCTGGAAGGAGGATGGATGCAGAGGATGGAGATGGGTTGGTGGGTGGCAGCAATTAGCTGCGGTTCTCCGGTTGCATGGCTTGTTGGTGGAATGAAGTAGGTGGGTGAGATGTGTTTTGGGCACTCTTGTGAAGCCCTGGTTGGCCTTGGGGTGAGAGTGAACGAGGTGTGTGTGGGGGCAGCAAGGGGAGGCTGGGGCTGCTGGGCTGGGTGCTGGGTGAGGCTGGAGCAGTTTGGGAGACCCATGTGGTCCATGGGAACTTGACCTGTGGCCTTCGGCTGTTCAGCTTGTGGCAGGCATGATCAACACAAGCAAAACTATAAGCTTGGCCACGGGAGGCTTTCCATTGGGCTGGGGGCTGGGGAGGTAACTGGCTTGACAAGGACATGTGAGGAGGTCCTTGCATGGGAGAAGGAAAGATGCAGGCGTTCCTGAAGGGAGCTGGCTAACAGCCACCAAAGGTCACGGTTTTGGATGCTCTCCTAGCTTGCTTTGGCCTTGGCTGAGTGGCAGAAGAGCTGCAGTCACTCAGTGATGGCTCTGAGACTGCTGCATTTGGGCAGCTACAAGAACCTGGGTGGCCAAAATATGGTCAGAGTGAAGTGAAGGTAGAGTAATGCCAGTGGCAGGTGATGGACTCAATGTGGAGGATGTGCTGGGGAGCACAGTAAGCCACAGCAAAGGATCCTCAGGATTCAAGAGAAGATAGGCTGGCAGGGTGGTCAGAGGATCTTAACTACTTCCAGAAATGCACCTGGAATGTCAGCAGAGTTGTTCGTTGGCCGGATGCCTTGCAAATTGCCTCCTGCACAACAGTTGACCACCTGCCAGTTGGTAACCCACACTCCTTGGCAGGGTGGGGAGGCCAGGTGCCCCCAATCTGATGACACGAATCTTTCTGCTTGTGCCTTTCCAAGGAAGCAGTTTGTTGCTTCTCTGTTTCACCTCTTGGGGTTTGATCCCGCTGTCTGGGGGCCGTGCATCCATCTGGCCATGCTGCATCTGTAGGGCTTTGCTGGGTTTGTTCCAGGTTCGGACTGGACAGCTGTGAACAAGGAGCCTTTTCTCTCCACCCGCTACAAGATCCAGGACCTTGGCTCTGGTGAGAAGGTCCACGTGCGGGTGAAGGCCATCAGTGCCAGTGGCACCAGCGTCCCAGCTACCTTGGAGCAGCCAATCCTCATCAGGGAGATCACTGGTAAGAATTCGTGCCATGCAGTGTCCTCGTGTGCCTTGTCAACAAGCAAAGAAATTGCAGCTCGTCCCTACAGCCCAGTCATCCTCTGCCCTCTCACTGCTGCAATCCAGCCTCTGACTGAGGTGTTATCCTCCAAAACAGGGCCCAATTCCCCTGGAGTGGGATGGGAATGGGGCAGCTTCCTGACCTGATCTTGTAGGTGGGAGTGAACCGCACCCAAAACACAGAGCCCCGTTTTCCCATTTCATTGCGATGGCTGTGAAATGGCCTTGCATCTCCTCTCCTTGCATCTCTGCTGTGCCACCACACCCCTGTTGGGCAGCATGGCCGGAGGCAGCTTTGTTTATTTAGCTGAGGAAAGTCGAGAGCTGGTTGTGTGGACATTGGGAACTCTAATCACGCTGGACGCGCTAATGAATGGCTTGCTCCCATGCTTAGCAAGACTTGCATTCCTACTGGGGTGCAGCAAATGTGCTGAGGTTGATGGATGATTGCAAGGCTGGTTTTCATTTAGCTGACAGGAAATATACTTATTTATCCTTTCTGGGGAATCATGAATGCACAAATTTTCCCGTGACTCAAATAACAGAGATTTTTTCATCACCTTAAAAGTAGTATTAATAGTAACATGAGCTATGGCAGAAACTGCCAGCTTTTTGTAGGAAAGGACTTGGAGAAGGCTAACAGCATTTGGAAAGGGTCCTGCAGGGCTGTGCTTATTGGGTGCTGTGTCCAGAGCCCAGCTCTGCCTGAATCCTCTGGGGACTGAAGCAGAGATATCACAGAAGTGTCTGCCAGCAGTGCCATGTTCACCTCCAGATCCCATTTTCTTTGCAGAACTGGGGAAACTGAGGCACAGGGTCTGGGACGAGATGCCAGGCGCACAGCTCAGGTTTCCCATTGCAGTCCCATGCTGCACCAAGCTGCCTGTCCTGCTGTCATCACTGCAAGCTTTTTCCCAACCACGTGTGCCAGCTGAGAGTAAAACCCAAAGGGCTGGGAGATCCGTGCACAACTTGCTCTGTTCCTTTTTTTTCTTTCTTTTGCTGTCTGAAACTCTTTATTGGCATATGGAACTTGCCAACTTTTGCATGTCATCTGAACCACAGCCTGCCACGTGCTTTGGCTGTGCTGAGAAACAAATGACCCCTCCTGAGTCCACCCCAGTGGTGCTGGTGCACATTGGGTGCCTGAATCGGTTCATCCCCATCCTGTCTGTCACATTCTGGCCTTCCCATTTTATCCAGGATTGCATCTTGCACCTCTCCTTGGTACGTTTGCAGCGTCAGATGGGATTTTAAATAGCAGCAGTACTTGTGGCAGGGATTTTAAGAACAGGTGGGATGAGTGGGTTTGGAAGGCAGAGAGAGAGATGGGGAGAAACCAGCCAAAGATTCAGCATCTTGCAGGGAATTAGGGCAAGGCAATGCCTTCCCAGCCACGTACACACTCCACCTGGGCCACTGTCCCAAACAGCCCCGTGTGGCTGAGCTGAGGAAGACACCCATGAATTAATGTTCCTCCACGGAAATCCAGTTTCTCTGCCCTGCTGAGATGAATGAGCCCACGCAGAGCACCAGCACGTGGATTCCTGCAGCCAACAGCTGTGTGCACAAAGCAAAGACCTCCCCAGCTGTCAGCGGGGCCATCTGGGACCGTCGGGCATCTCCCAGCCCTCTCTGCTCACAGCTGTTGAGGCTTCGCCTGCTCCTGATTTAATTCTGGCTGTCGCCCTCCACGAGCCCCCTCCCCAGAGCTGAGCTCCAGCACGTTTAATCCAGGCAGAGACACACAGCTCTTTTATGAGGGGCTCACGTCAACCCAATGCCTCCCCAGAAGGATTGCTGGCTCCGTGCTGGTTGGGTTACACGGCTGCTATTTTCACCCTGGGAAGGAGGCACGCACTCCATCGGCATTCTCCAGTGGTTTTTTTGCTTATCTTTGTTATGTTCCCTTGGGGACATCAGCCTCCATTTTCTAGCCTGGGCTTTTGTAGCTCTGCTGTAAGAAACTGTGCACCATCTCGTCCTCTTGACAGCCCTGAGCCCACAGAGAAGGAAGAGGTCTGCCAAACCTTGCCTTTGCTGGAAGTTGGGTTGTGTGTTCCTAGAAATTCTGCTGAGCTGGGACATAAATGATTCCCAACCAGGAGATGCTGCCCATGGTTTTGCTGCCATGTGGGCTCTGCTGGTTAACCCACACTGGTTGCCATGGGCAGGCTATAAGGATGAATGATTCATCATGGTGGTGCCATTGGGTTGCAATGGACAAGGAAGTCATTTTGGAGTGCTGGCAACGGGAAGCATGGTCCAGGAGATCACAGAATAGTAGAATCATTAAGAAAAGACCACTAAGATCATCTAGTCCAACCATCAACCCATCACCACCATGCCCACTAACACCATGAGATGAGAGGGAAGAGTTGCTTCTGGGGAGGACATCCTGATGGCCAAGGGCAGGATGCCTGGGATGGGTTCGTCTATGTTTGACCACATCTATGAGATGTGATCAGGCTGTGAGCTGTGATTTCCTGGCCCCACTGCTTCACTTTCTGGTTCCCAGATCTCCCAAGGATCCGCTTACCTCGTCAGCTGCGGCAGGTGTATGTCAGGCATGTTGGGGAGGCCGTGAACCTGCTGATCCCTTTCCAGGTATGTGGGGGTTTAAGCCCTTGGATTTGCTCACCCAGGGTTGGTTTCCCCAGTGACCTGCTGTGGATTAAACCAGCCCCTGAAACACCTCAGCCAAGCAGGGAGAAGCAAGAGGCAGAAAGCTGTCCCTGCAGTGAGGGACTTCTCCATCCCATGTCTTGTAGGCAACTGGGAGCCTGTGCTGGCCATGCTCCAGAGGTGAATCAGCCATGGATGCCAAACTCAAACATTTAGTTCAGCAACATGAGCACAGCTCTGTCTGCAAATCTCTTGATAGGCAAATGAATTTGCTCAGTGGGGACTTTAGGGACCAGTATCATCTATGGATGATGGTGATGAGGATTTGCTATAGTTTCTTCCCTGGGCCCTGCTGGATGGGAGAGTCCCTGCTCATTGCAGGGGAGATGGACCCTTCATCTATGGTCATCTATGACCTTTAGGGTCCCTTCCAACTCAAATGATTCTGTGGTGCATATCCAGGCCACGGCTGTGCCTGGATGAAGCGGAGTGGCTCTGCTCACCCTGCTGGGACCACGTCCTTCAGTTGCTCTAACCTACCTACATGGGTTCCTCCAGGGAAAGCCGCAGCCCCAGGTGACCTGGACCAAGGACAACCAACCCCTGGACACCAGCCGGGTCAACATCCGCAACACAGAAAAGGACACAATCTTCTTCATCCGCACGGCGCAGCGCAGCGACTCGGGCAAATACCAGCTTGCAGTCAGGATAAATGGAGCAGAGGACAAAGCCATCCTGGACATCCAAATAATTGGTACGGCTGCAGATGGGGACCTGTGGGGTTGTGCTGCGAGAGGTGAATCTAGGGCTCGTTTCTGCTCTTTGGTTGGGGGTAGCTCCTAATCTGGGTGGTGTGGGACAGGGACAGCAGCAAAGTAAGGGCAAGGCTCTGGGGTCCTTCTTCCATTACAAGAGGAAACCACTGTGGGGGTTGCAGGATGTCTACCAGCCCATGCCCATAGCAGATCCTCACGTCTCATGTGCTGCAACAGGATAAAAATACATTAAAAATGAAGTGAAGAGGATGGACAGAGCTTAGTATCTGGGGGGAGCAAATGAGGACGCAGCCATGTGAGTGTTTGTAATTGCAGAGCGGCCTGGGCCCCCCCAGAATCTGAAACTGGTGGATGTGTGGGGCTTTAATGTGGCCCTGGAGTGGAGTCCCCCAGCAGATAATGGAAACTCCGAGATAAAGGGCTACACAGTGCAGAAGTCAGACAAGAAGAGTGGGGTGAGTCCAACCTCTCCTGTGCCTCACATACCCCAGTGCTGGGGTTGCACCCATGGGTTTCTCTTCCTTTAGGCAGCCTCCAACCGCTCTTTTTTTTTTTTTTTTCCCTCCCCCATCAGAAATGGTTCACAGTGCTGGAGCGCTGCACCCGCACCAGCTGCACCATCTCCGACCTCATCATAGGCAACACGTACTCCTTCCGCGTGTTCTCAGAGAATGCCTGCGGGATGAGCGAGACAGCAGCCGTTGCTTCTGGGGTGGCTCACATCAAGAAAACAAGTGGGGACGGGGACGTGGTTTGGGGTGATGGGGTGGGAGGGAGGGATAATGTCCCCAACAGGGCTTCCTTGGTGTTGGGTCAGTGGTGATGCCTCCAGGCTGGTCACCAGGATGAGCCCTGCAGGGTGAGGCTCTCAGTCCTTGGGATGGGTGAAGTGGAAGGTTCTGAGGTGCCTGACCTTGGTCTGACCTTCTGCACAGAGCGAGACAAGCATCATCTTGTTGGCTCACAGACAGGAGTCTGCATCAGCCCCAGGGACTGGGCATGGTTGGATGAGTTGAGATTTATAGACAGGGCTGATGTGAGTTGAAGGCCAAGCGCTCAGGTCACTCTAGATGCTGTCTAGCTCATGTGAGAGAGCAGAAGTATTTTGGGAGGCTTCGGGCTGGGTTCACATGGCCAGGTGGTGGTCAACCAAGGATCCCAAACTCTGCCTCACCTTAATTTCATTAATTTCCTAGAAACTGTTTACCAGCCACAGAAGATCCCTGAACGGGACATGATGGAGCCCCCCAAATTCACCCAACCCCTGACAGACCGAGCCACCACCCGGGGCTACAGCACTCACCTCTTCTGCTCCGTCCGGGGCTTCCCCCAGGTCAGTGCTCCTCCAAGGGCAGCATCACCTCTGTGTGCAGGCAGCCACCAGCTGGGCTCTGGAAGTCTTGGGAGATGGTTGGCCATGTTGGGTTAGGGCTGAATGGAGATAGGGTCTGCAGCTGCCCTCTGAGTCAAACCAGGGCAGGTCAGGGTGTTTCTGCACAGGGATGGGAGGTTGGTCTCAATTCAAGCCAAGTCCTGTTTCCTTCTACACTGAGAGAGGAGCTGTGGGTGGTGGTTAGAGCTCCAGAGTGGGTGTTTTAACTCTACAAATGGCTTCTGACAATGGATCCCATCACGGCCACTGGCACTGGGAAGGACCAAGGCAAAGCAGAAAGAGGTGGCTATATTTTGGGGACAGTTAGATTTTTCATGTCTCTCCCTGCTTTAAAAATAAATCAATAAATGAAACCCTTCTACCCTCTAGCCCAAAATCATCTGGATGAAAAATAAGATGGAGATACGGGAAGATCCAAAATACATAGCAATGATTGAGCAGGGTGTCTGCTCCCTGGAAATCCGCAAGCCCAGCCCCTTCGATGCTGGCGTCTACACCTGCAAAGCTGTGAACCCTTTGGGGGAAGCCTCAGTAGACTGCAAACTTGATGTGAAAAGTAAGTTTGACTGAGGAGAGAGAGGAGCAGATCTCCCTGCCTGCCTTCCCTGCTGTCACACAGTTTGTGCCTTTTTTCTGTTGGATTTTGGTGGAGGAGGAGCTGAAGGGCATTGGGTCGCCCTCTGGAGCTTTGTTTTGGGCTTCTTGGGTTTACAGTCTTGCAGCATCCCTTGCTTTTCATTCATGGCCAAAAAGTGAGCAGGAAACCAGAGTTTGTAGATGCAAAGGAGCAGAGTGTTGGTAGAGGCTATAACAGCCACTTGCTCCACACTGCATCCACCATCACTTGTGTCCTAAATCACCCCCAAGCCACGCGTGCCAAAACTGCTTCACTTGCACCTGGGGTGCCATGATTTACGTCTCAGGATCCTGCCCAGGCTTTCCAGCTCCCATTTCCCTGCCTCAGCAGAGAGCCCAACCCTTGATGACAAACTTGTCCTTGTGCACCTGACCATTGCCCAGGCTGGAACATGGGGTCATGGGGTCAAACTGCCTGGGAGAAGGCAGTGCATGTGTCAGCTCTTGGAGAGTGAGTGCACAGGGATGCTGTGCATAGGTGTGAGCACACTGAGAGGGTTTGTCATGCCCTGGTGCACATTTAGATGTCATAGGGGAGTGAGGTGAGGGGATTTCAGGGGCTTTACATCTCCCATACTTTTCTACAGTGCCCAAGTGATGACGGGTTGGAGGCTGAGATGAAGAGTGAGGTAGGTTGGGGCTGGGGCTGAGGGAGGGGAGGAGGGTGGATCCTTTGGGGATGGAGCACATTGGATATCCTGGACTGCCCCTTATCAGCTGCTGATGAAGCCCTGCTTGGGGACTGCCTCCTCCCAGGGCTGGAGATGTGCTGGTGGGAGAGATGAGAGAAACCTGCCCCTTTGCTGGGAAGAAGAAAGGCTGTAAATGGGCCAAGAGAAAAGAGGACATGAATGGGAGACACATGAACAACAGTCAGGGCTTGGAGACATGGGGCTGAGTAAACATAGGGGGCTGGGGGCAGGTATAAAGGTGTGCAAGACAGAGGAGCAGAGCTGAAGGGCTGCAGCTGAACCTCGTGGGGCAGATGAGGGTGGAGGAACTTGTCTGCAAGTCATTCCTTGGATCCACAGCTGGAATTTGGTTTCCCATCTCACCTTTGATCAGCAGCTGGCAGGACTCAGATCCTGTTCCTTCACCCAGGTGGATGCAGCAGCAGCACAGCATGTGGTGATGCTCCCAGCCACAACCTCCACTGCCTGCAGGCCTGTCCCCTCCCCAGCAGTGCCCCTGGGTCCTGCGTGTTGTCCTGGCCATGGCATGGCCCTCTCTAGGTGTGTTTTTATCTGTGACAATAAAATAAGCCCATCTGAGCTTTGGTCCTTAACAGTCACTGTGTCCTGCAGTGGGGGTGTTGGGGTAGAGGAGAGGGAGCTGTAGGGTCTCACAGCATCCCACACACCCATGGGTGGAGGAGACAGCTTTTGAGAAAGTACCAGCTTTGTAAAAGATGGCTAAAGCAGAACCAAACCATCAAGGAGGAGGAGGAAGGGTTACCTGCTGCAGCTGGCGAATGAAAAAGAGAAATAGCAACATCACAACACAGTCACGTTGACATACTTTCATCCAAGTGCGAGTTCTTCATCCTCACCAGGGCTACCATAATTCAGCAATACACCATTACCCTCTCACCCAAACACAGACAGGCTGTGCCCATGCATTATATAGAGGAGGCATCAGCCCATTAGCTACACGTCGTTCATGTGCAGGAAGGCAGCCTCATTACTTCCATCTGTGAGACAGCTCAGGTCAGATGTTGGTAATTAACAGAGAGCCCAGACAGATCCATCAGGGTGAGCGAATGAGCTGCTAAGCAGAGGTCAGCAGCACAGAGCACTTTGCCATCAGCACAGCCTGCTGGGGTTGATGGAACAGGCACATGGGGCAAGGGGGAGGCATGGGGTCAGACCCACAGACTGACATCCTGGTGAGCCATGGCACTGCAAAGCTATGGCTAAAGCAGCTAGCCCTGCTGCATCAGCCCCCAGCGGGGACACTCCTCTGTTCCCATCTGCCTCAGGTCCCCCAGTGCCCAGACTGAAGCTTGGGGGTTCATCATGGCACTGCTCACACCTGACAACGCTTTCCACCATCAGAGGGCATCGTCGGATTAATTTTTATCCCAGCCAAGGGTCAGGCTGGCTCATGGAGGTGGCTGGGGCTAGTGATGCCACTGGGGTGCAGGTTGTGGTCCAGCTGGCTGGGCAGCGGGCCAAGCAGTCCCACTGGGCATTGGGCACTGTTGCTGACGTTCTGCCCTCTCGCAGTGTCATCATCTCAGCATGTGGCACTGAGAGGTGAAAGACAGGTGCTGGGAGTGGGCTGTTAGCAGAGGGATGTGCAGCCCTGTTGACGAGAAGAGGCATCACTGACGTGGAGCAGTGCTGCACACTGTGCCCCTTTTCTGACTGTTAATGAAGCCCTGCAGAGCAAGGAGTGTATTTGTAACCCCCCAGGGAACCAGGGAGGGTAACAGCATCCACTCATAGTGAGCCCTCCTGGGAAAGGTCCAGAGGGCACACAAGTGGAAAAATCTGCTAGACATATTTTTACTGAAAGCAATCATCCAAGTGCCTTTTAATTTATGAACATCCCAGTTGTTAGCTTTCTGGGCACCTTAGCAGGGATCAGGCAAAGGCATCATTTCCAGGAAAGCAACCTCTTGCAGAAATATGACACAAGTGGGAATCTGACCTGTATGCAGTAAACAGCAGCCCTAATCTGCAGCCAAGCTGCTGCTGTGCAAAGGGGCTGTGGGCAGGGGGCTGGGGGTCCTCTCTGTGTTGCCCTGGGGCTGCAGCATCCCTGGGCATTACTGATAAGGGATTTGGGGTTCCACACCTTGGAGGAGGATGGGGGGCAGTTGGGGCCCCTCCATGGAGTTGAGACCCAAGACAAGGATCTGGTTTTCTCTTTTGTTCCTCACCCAATTTACCTACTGTGGTCTGAGCCTGCAGGGCTCGCAGCCACCCTGAATGTATTGAGACCTCTGCAAAATGTGTGGCATAGAGCCCCTCATCCCTTCTCATCCTTTCTACCTTGCTATCCTCCTCTTCCTCTCAGAGCAATGTACGGCTGTCTGCAGGGGTGGGCTAATGGATGGACCCATGTGCATGGGGTTGTGCTCCATAGCCAGTGAAAGAGCCACCCATAAATCTCCATGCCCTTTTCCTCCCAGCCCCTACGGGAACTCACTGCAGTCATTTTGCCATTGGTGACGTCTGAGGGGCACAACCCTCCCAGGGCTGGGAAAGGACCATAGGAAACGTGCAACAAAAGGGAGTCCAATGAATAAGGGACGCTGATAAGAAAGGAATTCCAATTAACTCTAATTAACTCTTCCCACCACTGGAAGAAATCCTGCCACAGAGCTGAGTCTGGCAGTGCTGCTGTAGAGACTGCAGAGCCGGGTGGGGAGGACAGCTCAACCCCACCACCAACAGGACCAGCAAAACCCCCTGCCCATGATCAAACCTGAGATGGACACATGGCAGCATCAGCCCTGACACAGTGCCCCCAAACCACCCCAGGTGGGTGCAGGCTCCTCTGCTCCCTGGGGCAATGGAGGTGTCTGCGTTCCCTACGCATCTGGGGTTAAAAGTCTGACCACGTGGGGAGGGAATAAGGAGTAATGTGGGAGAGAAATGAGGCAAACAGAGGCTGGAAAGATTGCAGTGGTCTTTTCCAATGTTTATGATTCTATGGAGGAGATGTGATCCTGCCTTGCACAAGGGGCAGAATGTGGTGGGCAGAGTGTGGGGTGCCCAACACTGCAAGCGGCTCCAAGGAGCCATTGGAACCCATCAGTGGTGGAGGACCTCCTGGGTGTTCATTACCATTTTATTTTATTTGCATTAAGATAAACCGCATCTTTATCTGTACAACATCTCCTTAAATACTTGGCAACACTTAAAAATAAAAATAATAAAACAGGAACGATAACAAAAAAATAATAATAATAATAAAAAGAAAGGAACAGTGCAGGCTACAATATCAAAACAGTACGATGCTCGTGAATAAATAACCCCTTGGGGCAGCCCGGGGGCTGGGCTGTTCAGATTGCATGGGGAATGGCAAACTCAGCCCTCCTGGGTCCTCATCCCCCCTTCCCTGGCAGCGGTGGTCTCTCAGCTCTTAGTTGACCGTCTCAGTTGTGGTGCTGCTGCTGCTTTTGTTGGTTTTGCAGCAGAAGTATTGGTTCCAGATCTGCTGGAAGGCTGTCCGGAACTTCTTGATCCTGAAGGCATAGACAACGGGGTTCATGGCCGAGTTGCCGTGGGTGAGGAAGATGGCGATGTAGGTGAGGATGTGAGGCGTCTTGCAGGATGGGCAGAACAAGGTGATGCAGTTGAGGATGTGCAGAGGGAGCCAGCTGAGCGCGAAGAGAAAGAGAACCAGTGCGAGGGACTTGGCGATCTTCAGCTCCTTCCCGTAATACTTCTGGGGGTCGTTGGAGCTGGAGGAGACCTTCTTGTTGAGCTGCTTGCGGATGAGATTGAAGACTTCCAGGTAGATGAGCAGCATCAGCAGCAGGGGCGGCAGGACCCAGACGAAGAAGTTGAAGTACACCATGTACTCCATGCTAATGACCGTCTCGAATTGGCACTTGATGACAAAATCTGAGTGGCTGGCGTTCAAATCCCGAGTCCCCAGCATCTTGTTCAGGTTATTCCAACCGAACATTGGGGTGAGTCCCACCAGAAAGGAGACGATCCAACAGCAAGCGATGGCCACTGCTGCTCGCCGGGGTGTCACCACGCTCTTGTAGCTGTGCAAGAGACAACAACCACAGGGAAAATGAAACATGAGCTGGAGGTTTTGCCTGGAGGTTCAGACTTCTGCACATGGGGTGGTAGTGCCCGTTCTGTGATGCCCATGATGCTGCTCACTCCATAGAATCATTAAGGTTGAAAAAGACCTCTGAGATCACCCAGTTCAACCCCAACCCATCCCCACTGTGCCAATTGACCATGTCTCTCAGTGCCACATCTCCACTGTTCTGAACACCTCCAGGGACGGTGACTCCCATTGACTCCCATCACCTTCTCCATCCCAAGGGATGGGCAGAGACCTCCTGGAGGTGATCCCAGAGCTTTTGGCATTGGTGAGAAGCCAGGAGGTGCATTAGTAACCACATGCTGTCTCCCTGCTCCAGCCCTGCTGGGACCCTGCCTCAGCCAATTCCCCCTGTGCTGGGGAGGAAATCACTGACAAAAACTTCCCCAGAGACTGCTGGGTGGAGGAAGCATCCAGTGGTGCTAATGGTCCTCTGGGCACAGCTTGTTACATTTCATAATGTGCTCTCCCCATTGACAAAACCCTTTTTCCTAATGGGCTGGTGCCAAGGGATGGAAGGAGGAGGCTGGCTGGGTTCTGTGTCCTCATCAACATGGTCTTGGCTCCCCAGAGCTCTCCAAGCGGGAACAAAGCCTGCTAGGTTGATTTTTCCCCCTGGCCCTCAGATGAAAGCACCTCCTTGGAGGCCAGACAGATTCACAACCCAAGTGCTTTAGCCTTCCACTGGACAAGATTGAATGAGGGATATTTTTCTGGATGTCTGATGGGTTTTGCTGTGGTGCCAGTGTTAACTTGGTCATGGAGGTGGCTGGGAAACACAGAGTCCCATCTTGCTGCTCTGAGCTCCCTGCTGCTTGCCAAGAACTCAAACCCACTCCTTCGCCCTCAAAGGTCCATTCTCCAGACCCATTCTAAAGGGCAGGATGGGAGCACGGAGGGGTGCAGGATTGAGGGGGGACATCCATCCTCAGGAGCTCAGAAGGTCCACAGCCGCCCATCCCTGATGACTTTGAATGAATGAATGAAACCCCTCCGTTCTGGGAAACCATTTCCAGGCAGATCCCGTGGGAAGGGGGTGGCAAAGCAGGCTGCTGTTTCCTCTGAGAGCCGGAGGGTGATTTATTCCTTGCTGGGAGGAGAGAGGGCAGGAGACCCTGAGAAAGCCATGGGGCGGGGAGATCTGGAGCTCTGGGGAGCCAAAGGGTGATGGGAGAAAGTCAGCACTGTGGGATGGGTGTGGTGGGTGACAGGCCCCCATGCAAGCCTCACATCTCAAGGATTTTGAGGGTTTTCTGCTATTTTTTCTGCAGTTTGAGGAGCTCCCCACCCTGCAGCGGTGGTGTCCCATGGCCCCAGGCAGGTGGGCATGGAGCACTCAGCCCTCCTTCCCTTCCATTGCCTGGGTTTGGGAAGCACAGGGGACAGAGGGAACACTGAGACCCCATTTTTAGCTGTGAGTTGGAGCAGAGGACACAGGTTTCATGCCTGTAGCCACAGTGGAGGGGATGGAGAACGGCTGCTGGGGGCCAGCACCAACAGTCCTGACCCCAAACTGCACCAGAACAGGGCGTGCTGCTGCAGATGGTTATCAGGACAGCTGTGCACAAGTCTGTTTGATGCAAAGGGTGTAACACACACCCAACAGAGCAACATCTCCATTTCAGCACACAGCCCTCCTTCCTTCTCCCTGCACATCCATCCAACCCCACTGTACAGCCATCCCCCCTTAACGCACATCCATCCCTCCTCAGTGCACAAATCCATCTGTCCTTCTTAGTGCACATCCATCTGTCCTTAATGCAATCCATCCCTCCTCTACGCACGCCCTTCTGTCCTCCTCACTGCACACTCATCCTTGCTGTACACTCAGCCCTCCTTAATGCACATCCCTTCCTGACCATCTCTGCACATTCATCTCTGAGCCCTGCTGCACATCTGTTACTCCTCACTGCGCAACCCTGGCCACCGAAAGCAAAACCTCTCTTGTTTATCCCCCTCCACATGTGCCAATGTCATCGTGGCCACAAGAGCTGGGACTAAAACCCCAAAAAGCGAACTCACAGAAACATTTGGAACTGTGGATTTTGTTGACTTTGCTCCTTCAAGCCACAAGCTCAGGGCAGTGACATCCATTCCTGGGGTTCGAGGTGCCCACATCCCCCATCAGCCCCACACAAGGAATGATAAAACCACAAAATGACTCCAAGTTCCTCCTTTGTACACCCCACAGGGTTTGGCCATGGGGCTCTGCTGCTCTGAAGGCTGCAAACCTTACTGAAAAGCAGGGAAATGCAAGATCCTGCCTATTGCTTGACCCCATGGCACAAAGTGTTTGGTGGCTGGGGGGAGTGGGGGAAGAAAGAGTCTTTGCTGCTCCCATGTCTCTGCTTTGATCACACCAACAAGAAAACATCTTTCTCATTTGTCTCATTTTGTATTAATGAGATAGAGCTAGAATTTGGGATGGGTCTGGGAGGCAGAAGCACTAGGAAGTGCTGATAATGGCTCACAATTAATAAATAATTATATTATGATTGTTGTCATTGGAATGATTGCTACCATCATTACAAATTTATTGCTACTATTATTTTTATTAACAGCTGCCACGAAACCATCCAAGATAATAGTCACCTCCGTCATCACATCATCTGGGTTTGTTTCCTTCATCTGTGGGGTTTCGAGCCTGACCATAATTGCCAGTTTTCCACTTCTCGTCCCTTCCTGAAGGGCTCTGTGCTGTCCCCTCCCCATGGAGATAGGTATCATCCCAAACCCTCCTGGACCCCCTGCCAAGGCCTGCAGAAAGGAGTGGGGCTCCTTGAGCCAGGTATGATGTACTGGGAGAGATGCTGGGGTGCCCCTACCTCAGGAAATCGTGGAGTGCCCTCACCCTGAGGGTGATATCTGCCTTCTCTTCCATTTATTTGTCATTTCCAGACTTGATTCGCCTTCTATCACATCCTGACATGTCCAGGTATCTGCAACTCACAGTTTGATCCACATATATAGCACTCAGGGAACGTATTCTCTTGACTTGGTTGAAAAACCTCCAGTGATTCCACATCTGGTTTGTATCATACTTTTTTTTTTTTTTTTCTCAGCATTTCTCAATATTCTTTTGACCATACAACATGTACAGATGCCCAGCCTGCCCTGAGATGCAGCTTTGCTGGTCCTCGCCCTGGTAGGGCTTTAACTGCAAAGCAGCTCCTAGGGAATTAATTCAATAATGAAGGCAGACCATTGCTAACAAAATGAAGCTGGAGCCATTGAGGTAGAAGGAAAGGAGACCAAGCTGACATGAAGATCATCTGCACTCTGAGCACAGCACAGAAGAGCAGCCAAAGCATGTCCTGATCTAATTGAAAATCTCTAGATAAAACCTCCTTGATCTCAGGGGAGTTTGGTTTCTGCTCCTTTTTCCCTGCTGTATCTCTGCTTCAGATCTCAGTGTCCTGGAGGCCTCTGGGTGGGCAGATTTTGGTGTCTGAAACTGCTCAGAGATGTGAGGCTCGGAAACATGAAGCTGAGAAATGCAAAGCAGCATGCAGGTCCTGCAAGGAGTTACCTCAGCTCAGGGCTGGACAAATAGCTGCAAGGTGGGAAGAGTTGCATAAGGGACATTGTGTGCTCCCATCTGTTCACATCCCTCCTTTGTGATGGTTGGGAGTTTTGTGGCTCTTTGGGGTCACACACCCACCTCTCAGCCCTTCATGCTCCCAACGCCCATTCAATGACTGCAGCAAGCCAACAGCAGAGCCCACGTTGTCTGCAGACATGGCTGGAGCTGCTGGGTGATGGCTGTCCTTCCCACCACAAGGGTGTTTCACACCCTCCTGAGTCATCCCTGCAGTTCTCACAGCTGGGATGGAGGTGACAGGTGGCAATGAGCCATAGAGGTGATGTGAGAAGACACCTCGTGGGCAGAGGGGTCATTTCAGCCTATTGCTCTCCTGATGGCATCACGTCTGGTTTTCCACTTGGGAAGAAGTGAGGGTTGGTGACAGCTGGTGGGTGGATGGTGGTCTTGGGAGGATCGATGTCAACTACCATTAGCCAAAGCTGGTGGCTAGATAGAGCTCTCATTGACAGCCTGTTCCTACAAATACTTCAAAGGGAAGAGATTGATAGCCAGCATCTCCCAGAGATTCTCCCAGTACCGAAATCCCAGATCTGTTACGTGACTAATGGCATCTGAAGACATACAACCCCACAGCCCATGCAGTCTTTCAGGTGAGCCAGACAAGTGTGTCCTGCAGAAAGGTGACAGAAAGAAAGCTTTGTGCTTTGAGCTTTGTCCAAGAGAGCTGTGTGGGACCTGCACTATGCAGGACCCAAAGTCCAGGGAGATGCTGCAGCCATGGGTAGCAGCCCTGACAACTTTCCTGTGCTGCCTGAGGGATGCACAGGGATGTGAGCACATCCTAGGGACATGAACAGCCCTATAAGAAGCAGGGGAAATAAGATAGAAAAGGGATTTATGGGCTAAAACATCTGGAAATGGGGAGTGATGCCTCTACAAGTGCAGAAACTGAGGGTACATCAGGGATTTTCATTCAATTGATGGCTCCAAGTGTGGGAAGAAGGCCCCCCAACTCTATAGGTTCCAGTCCTGGACCTGGAAGCTGGACATGTCCCACCACCTCCACTGCTCTCCTGATGCCATCAGCCCCAGTGGAAGCAATCCACCGAGCATCTGTCCCAGCTCATCCCACCTTGAGCTTGGCATCTCCAGCAGGGCTGCACTGTGAAGTTGCTAAGGTCAACGTTCCAGAACCCACGCACACACTGACCACTTGGCTTTTGGGTCTCAACCTGCCACTTTCCAGGTTCCAGCTAACAGATTGAGTTCAACCTTCACCACTTGAGCCAGAAAGACTTGTGTTACTCTATCTTTGAGATGCTGGGAGCAGCCATAGCATCAAGCTGCCCCAGAGGAGTTCGCTGCCAAGCAGCCTCCGCCCCGTGCTGCTGGTCCCAGTGGAGCTGCTGGCTGGCTTTCTGCTTTGCTCGGGATGTCTGTGCCACTGAACTCCCTGGGCTCTGGCAATGAATCACAGCCCATCTTGGGAACAAATCACAGGCTTCCAGTAACTGCAGAGGTTCTTGAATATCC